AGCAAGGTGCTGTGCGGTATGTGGATTAGGTCAAGATACTCCACTTCTCTGGTCTGGTTGATAACATCGTTCCAACATTATCCAAGGCCAGACACGCTGTTTGAGGACCGGTCTTTCAACTTCTGGACCCTCATGATCGTAGGTTGCTTCCGAGCCTTCTGACGGAACATCACTTGGGACCTGAGTAAACCCCCGACGGCTTTCCTCCATGCTGTCACAGAATGAAGATACAGGACTTGTCGAAATTGCTCCAAGAAAAGACAGGGCAAAGATCAGGTGAGGAAGTCTTGAGCTCTATAATGGAAGAAAAATCGGCCACCCCGTTGGATTTCTAATGACCAGACCCCACCTCTCGACTGAATGAGAAAGAACAGACTATATTCCGCTGCGGTCTCTCCCCAGGCCGAAAACGTTAATATTGCATGGCCGTATCTACACCGCATGTATCAATAGGAATAGGTCTATTTAGATGACGTGTCAGGCCTAGATTGTTCGACTCTTTGCACAGGAGCTTTTCAACAGGAACCATCGGAAAACTAGGTCTCATATCGCAAAGCGCAGGCGGTTCATCCCGAACAGGCCATCCGTTGGCATGTTACACCAAGACCTAATTCAGGGTAACCTGCAATTAGCTCGCAGGATTTAGTAAAAGAACATCTAGGGTTTATTGGCTGAAACTGAGGCATTTCTGCCTACCTCTTAACAATGACTCATAAGGCGTAGACAGCTCGGGTCTGTTACCTGCAATACAGCAGGTTTATGAGTGAATTAAAGATGAACAATACATGAACCAAGATGGGTCTATGAGTACGATATTTCATTACATACCGACTAGACAATGACGATTCGATTACTCTGGTGAAAGTTTCAAATCCTATCCTGTCACGGGGTCTCGAAGCAAAGATGGCCCGGGCATTTGATATCACCAATGCACAGTCAGGGAGGCATTGCATCTACTGCCTACCATATGTTACATGGTTAGTTGGACCAATATGCATCTAGAGAACGTAACGTATCTTCCTTGTATTCTATATCGGCCTCAATAATTCCTTACAAATCAGAGCACATGTAGAGCCCAGAATCTTGGCCGCTGCGGATGAAGGCAGGACCGCCAAACCTGTATATATAAGGCTAGGTCATCCAAAATTTCTCACTCGACCAAAGCCAAATCCTCATTCATCTCCTACCTCACCTCTATTCATCAATTACAACGAAACGCACCCGCAAACATGAAGTCCTTCTCTGTCTTGACTTTGCTTGTTCTCACCGGTTGTGCCCTGGCCCTACCCACTCCCGATCAATCCGGAGTTGACGTGGCCGACGAGGCCGTGAAGACCGGCGACTACAAACGATCCGGCAATATCAAAGCCCGTTGTGGTCTGGCCCTTTCCCCCGATCAAGCCGGAGAGGACGGGGCCGACGATGCTGCGAAGATCGAAGCACGTTGTGCCATTCCCTGGACTCAGAACTACGGCGAATATGATGACGTCGAGAAGCGCGACGACAGCGAGAACTAGATTTATCTGGTCAACACGGACCTATCCGAACTTTCAGCGGTAGGTGATACAACCAGGATACCCCTGCTCGTTACCTTCTGTTCTAATCTTCGTATAGGAAGGTCTGTCATACTACCTAAATCTGGTCGAGGACTAGACTTCCGCAACAGGTTGTTTTGGGAAAGTTGAGAGAGATGGACGTTTAACTTTTTTTTTTTTGCTTTCTGATCCACGATGTCCAGGAGCAACCGGATGGCTTGCTTATCCACTCATTAGATCAAATCTAGTTACTCTAACTTACAGTATGTTGAATTGAGAAGATTCTTGCTTTGGAAACACGTTCATATTCATAAAGTCATAAAGAAGTGAAAGAAACACCAACCGGAAGATGCGCGACAGTAACTGTGAGCTGCATTAGTAGTGATACCACTAGCAATGATGGGCTATCACATCGTAGACATGGGTATGGTGGTTGGCACACAGCGGTGTTGTACGTTGGACCTGCCTCTATAGGCTCACCTGCCTGCTCTAGTTAGTCTGCAAATGAGATCAACAGCAGACACAGCTAGTCAGCGGTCTTCGAGACCTTCATCAATTCAAGCACGTTACAGAGGACACCTCCCCCATCTGACATTGCACACGTACTAAGGCTTGCTTCCTCCGGCCGAATCGCTCAATCCATCCCAGAGCCGACGCTTGGCTTCCTGGTCCCCGCTCCGGCCTCCGGCTAGGTGTGCGTTTTAGCCCCTGCAGGGTCTCTGCGGGAAGATCGACTGCCAAAACCAATCAAGCAATACACAGATCATATCATATTATGTCGGGCTTGCTATAGATCGCGTCATTTGGGGCTATTCTATCCCGGTCGCATTGTAGCCTCATCTATGATTGCATTGCTAGTGGAACCGTGCTTATCTTGGCATTCTCCGTGGCGGATCGACCATAGTTAGTGCTTATCTCCCGCGGCGCCTTCCGGTGAGTGTCCCGTCGTTGGATCCGACGAGGGTTCTGTAATGCGAATATCCAGTTTGGTCCCGGTATTACCGTCTGTATCCAGGCTGTATTGAATGTTTTTTTTTTTTTTTTTTTTTTTTTTCAGTTCTGTGCATCCTTGCGTAATGCCATGTAACATAATCCAAGTTGGCATCAAGTGTGGGTCTAGACAGTCGAATGCTTCTGTATGCTACGGGCAGTAGATTTGACATATGTCCTCAGTGGCGTCAACAGTTGCCAGAACGGAAGTACGTGATTTACTCTATATTCCATCTCTTGCATTACCTCTGCGTCCTTCCGTCCAGTCCCCATTCATAGTGCACGGCTCTCTACCATGCACTCCCTTGAGCAGGAAAGGATTACTGAGGAGGCAGGGCTAATTACAAAAAGTCAGACATTCGCTGATGACGAACGTGCACCGTACGGTAGGAACTTCGGTCATTGTATCCGGAGCTTGATATGGTTGGTACTTCCATGGGCGATAAGTACGGTCTTGCTTGTGGTCCTGATTTGGAACCTGACGATTCGCACGACGAGCAAAGATCCGATGCAACGATTATACTGTGAGTGAGTCTGTGTGATTGTAACTGACTACTCGAAGTGACTGTTCATGACTGAGGCTTGACCCCTATTAGCACCGGTCGAGCGTGAAATCGAATTCGAGACAAAGCGCTTTTATCGCAGCCGTGGTGGCGACAAATCACCTTATCAGGGATGGCCTTCGGATGAGATTGACCAGCTATGGAAAGATAGTTATGTCCGTAAGTCTCGATGTAACCTCTATGGTAACCGCCTCGGGCGCCTGATGTTAAGCCTGGCATCACTAGGTGGATTGAACACCTACGTAACTGCGGACGAGGCCGGGCCTCTTCTAGAGGAAACGCTAAGGGTTCCTGTTCCTGGGCGAGAAAACGAGTTTATGGTCGTGCTCGATGTATTTCATCAACTCCACTGTTTGGTATAGTAGAGCTCTTTACAAGGCTATCCACCCCTCTTGGATCATTCACAATGTGAAGCTAAGAGAAACCAAAGGATGTCATTCGTCAATCATGGTATCCGAAAAGATACGGTCGAGGAATGTATCACCCCAACGGTACGTTGGACTATTGTCAATGGCTGCATTACGGTAAGCCTGATCTTCTGGGGGATATAGTCGGGAATAGGAACCTTCGGCTTGTGTTAATATTGCTACACAGACCATTGCCTTGACCAGATTCGCCAAGCACTCATGTGTGCTGCAGACACAAGCGTGGTGTTTTTCGAGTGGAGCAAGCAATCCAACGCATCTAGACCTCGGGTCGACAATCTGCACACATGTCGAGATTTTGACAAGATTAAGGACTGGGCTTTCGATCGCGATATTGGTGAATATCATTCGCATCGACGTGTAGTGCCAACTGAGGAGGGACAATTCGCAATACAACGGACAACGCATTCTGATCATGGGGACTCGTCGGAGTGTTTTGCGACATGATTCTCGGTAGATTTCAAGTTTCGCTTTTATCTTAGGATTGTCCTGGGTGTATGTATCTTGGGGCTTAGAAGACAGCGGCTTAAAATTTGACATTGATTGCCTGTATCATTCGGCGGAAAGTTTGAAATACATATTCTCTGATGTGTATAGTTGAATGCTATGGAGGTTTTATTATTACGCCAGCAATTTAAATTCAACCCATTTTGAGAATCGCATGCTCTCCTCGTCGATCCATCGACAGAAGAAATCAGAAATCCAAACTAGCAGAAAGAAAAATATCAACCATCCCGCGATAAAACCTAAGACATACCTCCACATTTCGTCTTTTCCTGTAATTTCCCATAAAGCTGGGAATAGCGGGTAGCCAACCAGGTGTAATAGAGGACCGTGCAATATATAGATACTGTAGCTGATGCGGCCCAAGTATTGCACGAAAGGAGTCGTGAGAAGACAGAGCCTGAACGGAAGCTCAATGTTTGTGTGCACCAACACCCCGACTAGGAGAATAGCTCCCAGACCCGGAAAGAACCGATACGGTTGGCGGTCGAACGATGGGATAAGCTGGGCCAGCAATCGGTAGCCCGGAGTGTAATCGACACAAAATGTGGGACTGGACAGCAGAAACAGCGAACACGTAATCGAGGCCAGCTGGAGGGCGAGTTTTGATCTCTCTTTCCAGAGTCTTTTGATGGCTTCAGGCTGGCCTTCTGGGATAATTTCCATATTTCTGGCATGTACCGTGTCTGCTAGAAGCGCACCGCTTAAGAACAAGCAAACATCCCATCGACCCCAGCAATAGGCATAAATGACAAACGATGCAAGCAGAAGATCTCGGATTACAAGCAAGAGGCGACCCGTTGATAATAAGACGAGATAAAGTAGCATCGAAGCCCGGAATTCAGAAGGAATGGTCCACAGATGGACATCGTACGGTGAGATGTACTCCTCCCAGGACCATATATTCGTCAGGTGCGACCACGAGAGTAGCCAGTGTTTCAGTTGAGCACCAAACGAACTCATTCTCTCGGGTTGGCGTTCCGGTACCCCTCTCATGATCGCGCGATTATAAACTATTGAGTGAGAAAACTCCCAAAGGCCAAGTTGTAAAGTAATCATGGTAAACATCGTCGAAGCCAGCAAAGGCAGAAAGAGCCGGAGCCCTCTGCGGAAGGTGGATGAGCTTAGGGTACTCAACATCTTCTGCCAGTTTTGGCGATGTGCCTCACCCAATGCGTGAAATGAGAGCACGAACCCAGAGAGAACAAAGAAAACACAGACACCTGCGTCCCCAGCATGTGTGAGGCGAATAATTGGCAGTTGGAAAAACCCACGGGAGAATGGAATCTCCTCGTGCCGGTAAGAACATTGTGCTGATTCATGTGCGGAAAGCCCAAATCCATAATAGGTCGACTTCTCGAATGAACCGAAGATATGTTGGTTCACTACTGCAATGGCGAAGAGGCCTCGAAGTCCGTCCAAGAAGGCTGTATTATTGCTGCTTCGGTCTTCGACTTTGGTCGTGCGGGATAGGAAGCTGGGAATAAGTCCTAACCAAACTTTCTCACAAAACTTGCAAGTTCGTCGAACCACGCGGTGCTTCGAGCCCGAGATAGTCTCGTCGAGGGGGCGTCTCTGAGTATTGTGATGTTCAAGAGGGAAACTTTCTATCTCTCGCAAAAGGCTTTGAGATTCCATTGTATGAGACGGCAAACGAGTTGATATAGTGGAAAAGTAACGGGGTGAGAGGTGCTTAAAATGAAGAGTAGAAACAGACGACAGTGAAAGCGACTCCCAGGTTGTCTGTTTTATAATTTAGTCCGAATGGCCCGGCGCCTGGCGCTTCTAGTCCGAATTTACTCGTTGATTACGCACAGTTTCATTAGTGTATCTTCCATTTTCTATCGGTTCTGGATGACGAATCCGGGCTTTACGCTAAGATACCAAATAGACCGAAAACATTGAAGCTAGATTATACACTGCTGGAAATACTAAACAATGTCTGCCCGGGTGATTTGGTTAAGCCCGCACATCTGGCGAAATCCAGCATTCGTGTCGAACAAATCAAGCGGACTCCGGAAATCAACAATGCTGCCCTGGTCTATGATACAAATTCGGTCATAACGTATGACTGTTCGAAGCCTATGCGCAATGCAGATCACTGTTCGCTTGCAAAAGGCGTCTAGAAGTGACTGCTGCACTGTTCGGTCGGTGTCTTGGTCAATAGAAGATGTAGCTTCGTCACAGATGAGAATGGCAGGGTTTCGCACGAGAGAACGTGCCAACGCGAGCAGCTGCCTTTCGCCTAGGGAAAAATTACTACCATCTGAGTGTACCTCTCGATCAAGAGCTAACTGTGGGTATAAGGATGCTTTGCGAAGTGCCTCGTACAGGACATGGTCCTCGTATTCTCCGGCCGGATCTAGGTTTGACCGTACCGTGCCTCGGAGAAGGGTAGGGTCCTGGGGGATTATGGAAAGTCTCGACCTCAAGCAATGAAGATCCACGTCCGCGACATCCATATCGTCAATAAAGACAGATCCGTGTTCCAGAGGGAAAAGTCGGAAAAGGACAGATATAATCGATGACTTGCCTGCCCCTGTGCGACCAATGATGCCAATCTTCTCTCCGCCATCTATCTTGAGACTCACATTGCGTAATGCCTGAGGTAGGCCACTGCGATATCGTAGGCAAACGTTTGTCATGGTTATACTTCCCGTGGCTGGCCAAGTTGATGATGGCATGACAGCTGACTCGGATGTCTCGACTGGAGTCTCTTTGCCATAGAAAATCATTCTTTCGACCGTGACTAGAGAACTTTCCAGTTCGGCGCTTTGTGATATGACGGCAGGAACTATTTGGACCACAGCCAGGGCGTAGGTCATTATCAACCCAGACATACTAGGTGAAATAGGGCTGCTAGACATAACAATCAAGACCCCGACAAAAACAATCAGGGTATTGCCCAGTGTATCCAGCCGTAAATTCAACCATTGTTGGCTGGCTGACATCAGGTATGAAGCGTTACTCGCCTTGTCAATAGCAACGTTTAATCTCCTCTGGAACACCTCTTGGACGCCAAAGCTTCGAATTGTGTGTCGCCCAGCAATACATTCGGTGACCTTTGCTGCAATATTGGAGCGCGAGACAGTCTCGTGGCGTTTTAGCTCCTGCCTGGAAGCACGATAGTAGCGAGATGTGTAGTATGAAACCAGGGCAATCGCCGGAGCCGAGGCAACAAACTGAACAAGAAGAAAATATTCAGTTCATGGCGCAAGAATCAGGAATATCAATCAATTTTCACTTACAGCTGGGAAATGGACCGAGATCAGTAAGAACGTTGAGAATGCAGTGCCAACTAACATGATAAAGGCCCGAATTGTGTCGCTGACACCGTTATCCAACTGGCTAACATCATGAGAGAACAAGTTCATCAAGCGTCCGGATGGATTCGCAGTATGAAATGACATCGATGCATAAAGGATACGGCGAAGAACGGCCTTGAAAAGGTTGTCGCTGGCCCGTAAGCCGACTACTGCAGCCTGGCTTAGGTATGCCCACAGAAGCGTGCTCTGAATGAACCCAAGGAGAACATAGATTCCTGCATAGCTAAGATGGCTAAGTCGAAAGATGCCATCCACCCACCATGATAACCAAACGCCAGTGGAGATCCCTGCCGTTTGTGAGATGATTAAGAGGCAAAACAAGATCGGCCAGTGCAATATCGATCCGGAGACAGATAAGTATGTTCTATAAACAGACCCCTGCACACTACCCGTTCTTTGAGGCTCAGTGGCTATTACCTGGTCTTCAAGCAAGCCCCGTTAGTACTCACGCGAATCTGGAGGAAGAACATTTCTTACTTTGATCCTCCGCATTCTTCAGCGTTTCCTGGGGCCTGTTGCTGTGTCTGAAACCGGTTGCTGCGTCCGAGCTATTTTGTGCGTAACTCTCAGGCGTGTGAACTGTCCGCAGGACCAATTCACTGCTAGGCTGAGAGTGATATGAACTCTTGGAAGAGATGATGCGGCCTTTTTCCAGCCACAGAACACGATCACATCGGCCGAGTACGCGTTCGCTGTGCGTCACCAGAATACACGTTTTCCCTCGCAACAGACCACGAATCGCCTTTTTGAAGATGTGTTGACCAACGTCTTCGTCCACAGCTGATAAAGGGTCATCCAAGAGTATTAGATCCGTGTCTGCATAAATGGTCCGCGCCAGGCTTATTCGCTGTTTCTGCCCACCCGACAACGTGATCCCCTTCTCCCCAATACAAGTCACGTCGCCCTGCGTCCATGTTTCGAGATCCGGTTTCAAGGCACATGCTTCAATAACTTGGTCATACCACGGTTTACGGAAATCTTTGCCAAAAATGATGTTCTCCCGGACGGTCCCACTTTCAATCCACGGTATCTGGGAGCCAAACGATAGTCTTGAGCCGAGCACTAAACGGCCTCGGATCTGGGTTATCTGGCCCGCAATTGCAGAAAGAAGAGTAGTCTTCCCAGCACCTACAGGCCCTGCAACTGCGATCAACTCTCCGGGCGTAATGTGCAGGTTGATGTCCGATAAGATAAAAGGAGTATTGCTGTTGGTAGGCGTGTTAGCCTCTGTGCCCACGCGGAGTAAGTTGTCGCTTTCCATACTGTCCTCCTCCTCAGTCATAGGAAAGGAACAGTCTTCTGAAACCTCATTCCTGGCAGTAGAATCCCAGGAGAAACAACCGTCTGTTATTTCGACGGCATCAACGGCATCGAAGTTCCATATAATTTTCTCTTCTTGGTCATCGATGCTTAGAAAAGTTTCAATCCGCTTTACGGATATCCAGGCATCGATTAGCTGGCTAAGCACCATGGGCAAAATGTTGAGAGGCTTGCGAAGACAATTGAAAAGCGCTAGCGAAGAAAAAGCTTGTGCAGCGGTCAGATAGCCATGGACTGTCATAAAGATGATGAAGGACGACATTGCCGCATACGAAGGAAGTGACATGGACAGGCTCATGGTCATGCTCCTGATATTCAATAGCGTGTGTTGGTGGTGAACCTCGTTCGCCCTGGAATCAGAAATCCGAGAGAGAAAGTATGACTCCCAGGCATGAAGCTTAACGAATTTCATGTTTTGCAACGCCTCGCGAAGACTAGCTGTTCTCTTGTCTAGTTCAGCGTTTACCGCAACACGTCCAGATATCAACCAGCCCATGCTGAGGTCAAGTCCTTTTGCACCTGTCACAAGGAGAATGAGGCCACCCAATGCACTCCATTTCAGGTTATAGAAAAGTATCACCAAGGCTATGATCACAGCAATTGGTTCACTCCATATCATGTTCGCATAGAGTATGGCGCTCTCAATACGTTGCGAATCGACGGTGATCAGGTTTGATATTTTTCCATCGACCCATTCGCTGTTTTCTGTAGTAGAGAGTCTCAGAGTCTTTTCAAAGATCAATGCTGTGAGAACAGCTTTTATTTCACTGCCAACCACCTGTCCTAGATAATGGTAGTGCACAAGAGCAAAGCTCATCCCCATCTGCGTGATAAAGAGCCCTGCCACATACATAAAGGATGCTCTGTTGGACGACGACTCGTCTGATAGGCTAATCAGAAGGCATCTCAGGATCAAGGGGGCTGTCACTTGGAGAACGTTTGCGAGCAGCATCGCAAATCCCGCAAGGAAAAACTCATATCTAAACGTTTTTTGTAGAGATTGGAGAAGAGGCAGGTGTCTCTGACGATCCAGAGACCCTCGAAATGCTCGGGATATGGCATTCTGATGCACGTTTACGGCGCGATTTGGATTCAGATTCCGGGTATCGTCTGCAGTTAACGGTCTGAGGTAACCAATCTATGAATCAACATTCAAGTCAATTTTGACTACTATCTGAGCGAGAATACAATGGCAAGGAGTTTCTCCTAGAGCAAGACATACAGATAGTAATGGGAAGATCCACTGAAACGTCAATCGACTAAGCAGTCCGACGCGGTCTTCGTGGACAATCTGGGTATGGCTCAGTCCCTGTCCGGTTGGAGTGCGGGAAAACATCATTTTGGCGCTAATTCGGCCGCATGTGTCGGGGTGGGTTGGCGGGTTGGGAGGATTGATTGATTTGAAGTAGGAACCGTCCACCAGGGAGGGAAAGGGCATAATGGGTGGGGATCTCTATAATACGGAACTAATAATTCTCATTTACATGGGTTAACAAAACCACGCATCTGTATGACGACTCATCCAAGGCTGAGGTTACATCCAGCCCGCGAGGCTTGTGGATCGGGCCTCTTTGCTTCGGTCAAGCTATCAGCGCTAGGTTTCTTTTTCCTAATACTAGCCGAATATTGCGTGCACTTCCTAATCTGCTTAGTTTGTGCCGCCCAGGGACAGTTGAGCAATTGCTGTACAATTGAATGCGCGGGAATACCGATTCATTCGAGTGCCAGTCTTTGTCGTGGGTCCTTACGCATGGGAAGAGGACTCTTTAGGGAAAGGTATTGGCGGTCTCTTGCGTCTTACCGCTCGAATTACATGACGAGCATGGCTAGGTATAAACGCCCTGCTTAGAGGAAAGGATCGAACATGATACTATGTGTTCGATAGTTAAGCCTGTCTGAGCCCAAAACCGGGGATCGTTGAGAGTGATTTTGACAGCTGTTCCTGACGACAAGTGGCATCCAAGACGTTCGAAGGATGTGGGAGAGACGGAAGTTTCTGTCCACATTTCACCGCACAGCAGCCAACAAGATTACTGATGGCCTGGAAGAGGGAGCAATCTCTGAAGTTCTCACTCCGTTTCTCTCGGGAAACAGTGAGGCATCGAAAACCGAGCGAAAATTATCCCATATAAGCATCAGGACCTTATGCTTTGCAGTATCGACTTTCTTTTTTGCGGTCGGTGTGGTTTTCTATATCTCCAGAATTCACCAACTGGGCTCCGATCACCAATGTACGAATTTAATGCATGCCTACAGTAAGTGAGACCTCACCTCACACCCTGGTCTTCGTCTGTCAATTGCAGTATATCTATTTAATGGGATCCTCACCATTTCCGGTTGTCACAGCACCCTTATCGAATGTCATTGAGTATGAATGGACGCACAGCGAAGACAATTCGAGTCTAGAGTTGTACACTGGGAAACCAACCGCAGAGCTTGAAAGAGAATGGGATGTACTTTGGAATTGTGAGTGACATCCATGGGTACCTATCCAACTTCTGGCGTTATTCAGGATTTCTATTGCAATCAAGTCCGATAAACAAGAACTCATGACATGGCCACCATCTATAGACGGCGCTTTCGCTGTACCGATTGAAGCGCTTACATCGCTCAACAAATCATCCCTGGCTGGACAATTCCGTACGGTGGATGTATCAGGAGTTGCTGCACTGCTTGAGGCGTTTCACCAAATTCATTGCGTAGTAAGTGTTCTTCACAAGGGGCCATTTCTCTCTCATTGGGACCATGCTAATATCCGGGAACAGAATCTTGTTCGACAGTACATCTATCGTGATTACTGGGATTATTCGAAGGTTGCTTCATTTTCGGGTGGGAACAAGACCGTGAGACACCATGTCGACCATTGCATTGAAACCATTCGAATGAACATCATGTGTTTAAGTGACGTGACACCTTTTCTGATTGAAGAAGATCCGCGCGCACCGGGTCAATTGAGGGCAAATCATAATATTGTCAGGAAGTGTCGCAAATACGGGGCCATGGTCGACTGGGTCAAAGAGAATACAGTTTTCATGACGGCTGGAAAGTGAAAGTTCTATCACGCTATTCTTAGGGAAGCAACAAGAGAATGATGAAGATTTGATCTGGAGAATTCAATGTACAACTCATGTCACGATATCAAATTCGTACTAAATGAACCCCTCAGTAAAAATTGTCATAATATTGCCGCCTCTTCTATTAGCCGGCACCTGGATACTTCTGACTCAGATAACCAGTTCGCAACTTGTGCATATTAACAGACATTCTCACTACTATCAAGAGAGTCTCGGGGACCATTTCAAGAGACCATTGGGTCACCTGTTATCAGCGACTTCAAGCCATTCTTCCTACTCCAGTCTGTCACTTTCGAAAAATCCCGACACTGGTGCAGCGTGTTGAAATCCGGCCCTTCACCAAGAGGACGATCAGGGGCCATTTTAATAAGGTATGGGGTTGCGTCCGCAGCACACATCAAGGTCGTGCGCAATATTTCGATGCACTGGTCAAGTCTTGTCATGATCTGGGCCTCACTGCCTGCAAATGTTGGAGATCCCGTATAGTTGTAGGTTTGTCGGTATGTATGCTGCCTTAGGATATTCTGTTTACATTGAATATTAGCTAGGATTACTCCAAGAACAGGCTCGCAATCAATATTATTACCAGACACTCCAACTGATGATACACTTCCAAGTTCGCAATGATCCGGGTAGAATCATTGGGCGACCTAGCCCACTCTCTATCCGCCGGCTGCTTTAGATCGACTAAATGAGAGTCTGGGATAGTGAAATAGTCGACTGTTATTCATTTACTTGTTATTAAGGTATACTTCCTCCATTTCACTTAAAAGAGACTCACATTGGTATAGATTTTCCCACATACTCTCAAGTTCGGGGGTTGGCGTTCCACGATACTCTGATTTAGTTGAAAAATCATTCTGATACGTGAGCCAGTTATATTGTATGGCCGTCAAAGCCGGTGCTACACGTGTCAGTAGGGCTTCAGGGAATTTCGAAGCCATATGTAAATCAGGAGAAGAGGGCACCCACACCATGCTGACATTCGGACTGTGCAATCACGCTCAGTTGGTTGCATTGTTTCTGACCGGTAAAAGAGCACAAAGCCCGCTACGAACAGGAATGATGAGAGAATATCAATACCGATTGTTCTCAGCCTTTCATGGTTCCGGGATTTATGGTTCAGAGTTAGACCATCGTCCTGTCCCACAACCTGTCTTGTCATCATATAGGAACAAGAAGTTCCTGGCGCGAGGTATTGGAAGGAACTCCGTATCTCTCAGGCACACTCAATGGTGAGATTGCCAGGGGCTTGTAGTTGGACAATCCAGGGAGACAATATAATGGCCAAGGTCTTGACGGAGATACAGAGTGTAGACTACCTGCTCTATATATGGCAAGTTCATAGTTATTCAGCTCAATAAGTTACGATTACGGCTACGCGTCACACCTTCTATGCTTTCTATGGGATATAGGAAAGAATAATCCCACTTCGATATCGTGCCCGCCCCAAGGCGCTAGCAAAAGCTTGCCAAGATAGCCTACGCTTCCACACTGATGTTTCAAACGCTAGATTTTACCACTGATTGTTTTTTATTTTTTTATTTTTTTATTTTTTCAGTTGGTTTCATCTTGTCATGTATTGTATCATTCGGACACCGGGGCAAAGATTCTAAGGATTTATATAACGGGGTCAAGGTAGAATGGACTCTGCGACCTCGGGCACAAATAGGGTTTTCATAATGTCAAACGACTCCACAAACGCAAGTCTAAGGCGGATTATGTTGGAACATCGGGACATACCCTTCCGCCTGCCCTGGGGTTCGAGCTCGCTTAGTCATCACTTAGTAAGCTAGATATCTTAGATAGTTGGCCACATCGGCCACCAAATACACAACACATCCATCGTTTCCACAGATTATCCCGTAGTGTGGCTTGCCACGATATGCCTCCATTGTAACGCAGTCCGTTGTGTCAGAGAGGAGATTTTCCTTTTCCCATGCTCGTAGATTGCTCTTTTCAATGGCAGCGCAGATTTCAGGGCAGAAAATCAAGGATATACCTGTAACAGAAGCTCCAAGGATTGTGAAATGTGCATTGTCTGTGTGTGTTAATCGATTGTAATCCGTTTTGAAGCGGGTGTTCACTCACCGAAGCATTCTGGCTGCGTAGAGGCATGCGTATTAGACCAGTCATGACTTACGGGCGGGTCTGCTTGGAGGTTGGAAACTAGTTTTCGTCCTGCATGTGGGAACAAGGTATTGATAATGTCGTAATGCAGTCCAACATTCAACATCAGGTAGACATCTTGGAAGTTTTCCCGCGGAAACCTCATTCTCACACAGTCTGTGGTTGAAGGTACCCGCTCGCTGAGTCTCGCGGGAGAAAGCTCAATGGCGTGACATATCTGGTCGCCGAGAAGCTTATAGGTGGCTTCCCAGCTAGCCGCAAGATATCCCCAATGGCCATGGCTGTCTGCTAGCGTAACAGGTCTCGGTTGCGGAAACAGGTAGTTCTCCAGTTTTCTGTAGTTTGGCTCCATGGAAATGTTATTTCTGGTGGCTATGCTTGCCAGAATCTCTTTAGCGTCCATGTTGAGGCTAATACGGCTCCCTCGCTTGTGTTGTTGACAAAATTCCGTTACATCGAAGGATCTGCAGGCATACTCTGAAACATTGAGAATGAAAGGTATGAAGATGTCAGGATCTTCATGCAGAATGTCGACATATGTCTTTTTAGCCCGTCGTAGGGTGGACATGAACCTAGATTCCTGCATTGTTCGCCTCTCTTTGCCACGCTGCAAACGATCTAGTGGCTTACAGACAATTGCTAAGCGCTCTTCGAGAGTGGTAAGATATCTTCCTGGTATTGTCTGGCGTTTGTTGAATTCTTGCTTTGTGCTGTAAATACGCGACCAGATTGTGGATGCCATACGGTTGCTGCATACGCAAATTAATACTAGAGGGCCAATGAACGTAGGGTGTATGTAAGGGAAAAAGAACATGCCAATGATTGAAGAGATAGGAGAGCTAGGAAAGCTAGGAAAGGTAGGAGAGGTAGGCGAGGTAGGAGATGCAGGAGAGGTAGGCGATGTAGGAGAGGTACTTAGAAGTAGGGAGGAAGGAAGCCGGTGGAGAGAGATATACTTATCGTGAGGCATACAGAAGTACATACGTACACTCATTGAAGCCTATCTGCTAGCATAGAGCACGTCATGTCCAGGATCTTACTTACCCGGTTGCTTGCCCCAGAGATCTAATTCCTGTAGATCCGGGTTGGTGAGACATGCAGGATTACGCAATATTACCATCTAATGCCTGCCAGTGCTATTTTACACTGCATCTGTATGTAATGTTGTATCTTTTACCGCGAGTCATGACACAGTAATTGCTCAGTACCTGTAATTTGCATCATTACGGGTTTTTAGAATTATGTATTACATCCTGACTTACCTGAATAATTTCTTGGACTGTACTTACTGTTTGTAAGTTATAGGACCTTTCGTAAGAGATTTTTGAAGACTTTTCTCCTCCTAAGTCCACGTTCCATGCGCAAGAATACGTAATTTAGTCTAGTCAGATGTTTGCTTAGCTTTTTGTCGCCCACAGCGTAACCCATTAAGGAGTGTGGTGCCCTGATGATAGCAATTAGATTTGTCAACCGTTGGTAACTAGTTAACTAAAGCTGACCATATGAGCCTGTCTCCCCAAATCCCTCTCATCTAAGAAAACAACATTTCATTTCAGCTTTCCATCAGCATACTAATCGATCCGATGATGGCGAACTCTTATGCTTTTCTCCCCTCGGATATTGACGGAAAGGAACAGTCTGCCGATGAACATCAAATTACTCGACCACGAAGTATATGGAGGGAATGGTCAGTTCTAGCATGGCTTTCTCTTGCTTCGATATGGGTTTTTACCATACTGTTCAGCATTGCAGCATGGACCAACGGCACTACTGATGCCCGTTGTGCAAGGCATCTGTCAACATGGTGTATGTTGCCGTCAACCCTTCCCTCCGAAGGTATTTCCTGCACTGACTCTGTCTTCGTTTCAAAGCGCCAATGCTCGGCGCAGTTGAGTATGTTGACGTGCAGTTTCAGAATGCCTTCCACCAGCCGTCTATATATCGCGGATCGCCAAACATGGAAAGAGAGCAAGCTTGGCTGGATCTATGGAATTGTACGTATATCATTGTCTACTCAATAAAGAATTGTTAATGCTCATCATCTCTATCTGGCTCAACATTTACCTTGCAGTTGGAGAGGTCAATATTCCACTGGACAAGCTTCCCCTCCTGAATAAATCTACCGCTGGAGAGTGGAAGCGAGTTGCCCCTGAGCATGGAGGAGGCGTCTATGCGTTGATCGAGACATTTCACCAGATCCACTGCCTGGTCAGTTTTTGGTCCCCTACCAACCTCTCCCCACATCTTTACTACTCTACAAGCTCTCCGACCGGAAGGTATGTAACCAACAGTTAACCGAATCTCCTCATAGGATGTGATCCGCCAATATACCTACCGCAACGAATGGGACTACAGCAAGACCCCTGCTTTCGATGCTGAACCACACCTAGTGCGCGCACATGTTGATCATTGCATTGAAACCATCCGGTTGAATCTCATGTGTGTCGGAGATGTGACACCATTTCTGACAATATCGTCGCCTTCAAGGCCATTGGGAGAGTTGCCGGACTTCAACACGAAGCATAAATGTCGCAATTTCACGAAATTGCAAGAATGGATGGGGCAGAATTCAATTCCAGTCTAGGAGAAAGGTGGAACGAGAGATCTCATCACGCTCTAGAAGATATATTATGTGACTATCGTGGATGCTTATACGTATTTCAAGATTCTATCTGATACTTCCTATGGCTTCAATCTCCAGTATGCTTGGCATCGATTTGCTCGTAGAGCGAGACTCTCACTTCAGGCCTGAATCATATTCATCTCTTGGTCATCATCTCTATCACTCTACAGAGTTGTCAGAAACGTCCATGACCATTCAAGACTCGATTTGACATACCATAGCATGGGTCCTTTCTCGTCGAACAAAGTAAAGTGTATGGCTGACTATAGTAGATATAGTGCACAGCAAAATGAGCAGGCGAAGCACCTCATCAAACTGAAACCACCTTGTAGTCCAGTACCTCGCAGCAAACTCTGAACCTTTCTCTGCGGAGAGTATAGCTACTGCCGTTTAAACTGTCACTATTAAACATAGTATTGCGCCCGTCACTGAGATCCAAAACATGGATGAATGAATCGAACTTTTCGCCGAGTCGGCATCTTGTTTCAGCACAGGCCACGCCTCCCTGGAGGTACGTAGCGATGTCCAGGAGAGACCAGCAGCCATTGAACCACCGAGAACGGCTGTCAAAATTGGGAGGCTTTCGGCCGTTCTCTGAAGTTCATTTACCCCATAGCATGTCGTAAGGACTGCTAGAGCTCCTGTTACTACCCAGGGTGTGGCAGGCGTCGAAGCAATGGCCCATGAATATAGATCAGTCCCCGATCGTGGCAAGACAAATAAAAGATACCCTAAGGTAACAATCTGAAAGGAGTCTAAAGCAGTGCTCGCCCAGCCTAGGATATTCGTGGTATCCGGCAACGTTCGAGAGGCATAACTTGCCCACCGTACGGTCACATTCGCGAATGAGAGGAAAACCAGAGCATGCAGGAATACACTTGTCATGCCTCTCTGCTTTGTATAAAATGCCCAAATCGCGACATATATAATACTCCAACCTGCGACTGCGACCGAGAGGTATTTATACAGGTAGAGACACGGACGTTGGAATGCGGGCAGCAGTCCGTCGACGTCTCGGGCCGTCATCAATCCAGAGTATTGGCGGGTGGAATAACCGTATGTTGCGGCGCAGTAAAAGCCCTGGTTCTGCACAGGATAGATTAGGGTCTCAGGTTCGCTCAGATTGACGGCTCGAGTAATGATCGGGCTGTTCGCATTTGCAAATGCTTCCGGAGTAACAATGAATGACCCAAGCTGTTCGGCAGGGCAAATGCCATTTTTCACATTTCGGGGCGTGCATATAATTTCTTTCTATGATAACCAAATGTTGAGTTAGGTCAGACTCTTGACAATCAATGAGAGCGTTTGGAATTGTCTGGAATACAGGCATAGGCTGGTTTGTCGGATGCTGACCGTTTCGCTTCCCGCTGGTTTATGCCCACCCAGATGCTCGTCCCCCAACTCAAAAATGACAACACTGACAATACTGGAAGATTCATTGCCTGAGATCGATGAAACTGGATCCATTTGAACGATGATGCTAGGTTGGAGGAGCCCCGAGAATTTCTGCGACTGGGAGATACCCGTACAGCGTTGATGAAGCTTCGGGGATGGACCCTAGTTGAAGGTACCTTCAATGTCAACACCTGCCAAACCGCTTCCAGTTCGATACTTACCAGCTTCATTACTTCTGCAATTACAGTGGTGCCAAAAAATAGGAAAATGGGGTGGTAAAGCTGCATAGCTGCGGGTGACTGAGGCGACGAGGAATGATAGACCAGAATATAATGGACAAAATTGGAGAGGGAACGGACGGTCTCGGAGAAATGATTGATTAACTATTCCTGGTGATCGAGGGTCATTTCTTATGTAGACTTCGCCCGGACCCAATGCGCCCTAGCTAATAAACTAATGAGGTGGGACAGCCACGAAGCACGATGGTACCTACCCTAAGGAAGCCCCCAAGACTTACGAATTGGCCGCTACCACCCACCGTACCCCCAGGCTTCCCGGGCCTCGGCCACAGGCGGGAGACCGGGATATGCTGCGGAGGAACCGCTGTGCCATGCAGGGTTTCGTGACATTACCTAGGTACTCATGAGTCATGACGTACGCACTAGTATGAGTTATTGTATCAAATCACCCGGGGAAAATTATTTAGTGGACCGTTATCCGCTTCTACCTACTAGCAAGGATCCCGAGAGCTAGATTAGGTTTCTTAGGATCTATAATTCTTCTATACTACCATACGTAAGCTATGATATCATTTAGTGATTTCCGTGTGAATTTTTTGTGACGAACTGACCAAGGCCTACTATATAGAGCGATGCGCATACCAAGTCTTCGACTTGGTATTCTGGTCTTTTTAGTAGCTCAGTTGGTAACTGTCCTACTAAACGGTCTTGGCGGGTAGAAGCGCACCTACCACTGCCAAGCCCGTGACATTTTTGATATAACGTCTACTTATATATATACTACGTATCGACTATTATACTAGCTATATCTACATATTGCTCGGACAAGAAAGAATAGGATCTAGTATAAGAAATTTATCCCGGTTAGAATGAATCTATTATGTTTTTATACTGTAGTTATTAAACCTTTTAGGCCAGGATAGCCATAAACAGTCAACACTACGTCTTAATTCTGGAACCTTATTCTTTTACTTAGTTTTATTAATCCTCAGTTATGCGTTTAGATGGGAAAACTGGCATGTCATTTTACCACGTAGGTATTCAGGATCAAAATTCAGAAATACCTATAATAGACTAGCGCTATTTGGTGTTCCGAGGATTTTTTGGCTCTTAGGATATCTAGAACTGCTCCCAGGAACATCTGAGCTTGTGCTGTCTTTCGACGGAGAAAGTCCAAGAAAATATTTGCTATGTTGATACAGTGCGGGAACTACAGCGTTTCCTACTGGGGAAAAGGCCGTGAGCATCAAAAGGAAAAATAGCTTCTCTTATTCGTTATTTTCGTAATAGCAGTACTGGGTTTTTGAGGGAGTGTGGCGGGCAAAAGTACTCTAAGAGTGAAGAAACAGGCAGGGGGGTATTGCTAGTAGGGATGCAACTTATTGAGGTTACTCGCTCAGGGCACTCAGTCTTCCGCTTACCCCGTGTTCAGTGATCGCTTGAGGCTGCTCAGGGCGCGCTCAGGTCTACTCAGTGAGCAAAAAGCGGCGAGGGATGAGCACTAAAACGGAAAGGGAAAGCCTTTGGTCTGGCGAGAAAATCCAGTACGTATGTGTGCTCATTATCGAACTAGAATCATGTTTTCCCAACATACCATGGAGCCCCATCACGACACCCTGTACAAAATGTATCGCGCGTGGAGATTGGCCCTCCAGGGTATTTCCGACGTCAAAGGACTCTATCCGACCTTTGTTATCAACCTAGCTCCCGCCGGCGCAGCAAGAGTAGGCAGGGATAATGGGATCGGAAATGTCTGGGGCTTGGAGGATACGCCAATGATTTGTGAGTTACAAATTTTTTTCATTATCCCCATTATCTCCTTGCAACCAACCAGGAACTAACGAACTATCCCCAATCAGGGTGGCAATTCAGCACAGGCTGGGCGCTCGCTCAAGACGACATCCGAGTGCAAAGCTGGTCGTAGACACTAGTAGAGCGATTACACAACGCCAACCGGAAAAACAAGATCAGCTCCGAGTTCGTCTACATGGGCGATGCTGGCGAGTGGCAGGACCCGTTCGCTGGGTTCCCAGCAGAGAATGTGCGTCGGATAAAGGTCATCCAGAAGAATTACGACCCTCAGGGGGTTTTCACCAGGCTGAATACGGGAGGATTCAAGTTAAGCACTGTCTAACAGGCCTAGAGATGACTTCCGGGTGGTGGCCTCTGTTTGGGCGTGGAAGGTAATTAGTTGCATGCTTTTCAAGGTATCCTGATATCCCTTGACACCGAACATTTTCTCCATACCATGAACATATATTGCCATTGGTTTAAGACCAACTTTCATGTTGACTTTTACCACTGCGCTACAGGCCAAAAGGCACAATGAATGACCAACGGGTCATTCGGTCAACGTACTATCTATAGTATATAGTAAGCTGTCCGCCAGCAGCTCTTTCGGACAGAGTCCTGGCATTTTATCAAAAAAAAAGAATTTTTATTTTCTGACCCATAAAGTCCTGTATGTGAAGTAGAAATTTTAGTATATTGATTATAAAGTTGCATATAAATAGGCCCTTATCTTCTGTAGATAGATTATCATCAGAGTAAATAATTTCACTGCTTCCAGCACCTTGAATTCCTACAGATGACGAAGAAGGGATTGAGAGTTCGGACAGTGGGGATAAATATGTCTGCATTCTTTCTCTCTGATTTTTAGGGGCCAATGTATGGACATGGACTGCTTCCAAAATCCGGAAAGGGGACAGATAGGAAGAGAAGGAATGAGATATAAAGTGAGGATTTGGTCTTTGCTTTTGTACGAGGATTAAGAGTAGCATATGTGCGTAGTTCGGATGGAAGATGAATGAATGTAAGGAAGGCGGGAGATGCACAAATGATCCCCTTTTGCATGACCAGAGCACGTGTTAAGGCTTCAAACCAATCAAGGCAACTACAATGTATCAAGACTGGCCAAAAGTCCAATAGCCAATAAGGAAATAAAATTGGACTCAAGTCTATGTATGTACTGCGAACATGTATCGATTGGGAAAACCACGCGGTTGATCGAATTCTGGTCTGGTGAAGCTTCGTGATCGTCATCTGCGTCTACCGTCCACTTCGACTGCGTCGCATATTTTGAAGACATTCATCGCAATACCATTTGACTGCATCCTGTTAGCTTTTATCGCTCTAATTTGATTGCTGATCGGGCAGGTCTTACCATTCTTGCCGGGTGGCTTGGTCAACCCAACGCAGGACAAATGGAACCATTCTCGTGGGCAAGCGTCGTTGTCGCACGCAACCATCTCGCCGAAACTGATCTCGTTGCAGTAGCAGTACCGCGGCTCGCCCTCTTCGTCCTCATCATCCCCTTCGTGAAGGGATTCTTCCTCCTCAGATGGTGCTTTCGGCTGCACCACCGGCGTGCTGCCAGTCTTCTTCTGGGACCGCTTGGCGGGTGCAGGGTCCGTACTGCGTGTAGCCCGGACCCGCTGCTGAGTGGTGGTTTCAGAGAAAGTCGACGTCACCGGGGTCGAGGTCTTGGACGACCGTCCCTTTGGCGCCGTATTCAAGGGCGGCAATGTCGGGGTTTCTCTTTGCTCAATCGACTCGGTAGGTTTACCGTCCGTATCGTCACGTTTCGTCCCAACAGGAGTCGGAACCTTTGACGATGCAGCCGCATCCGCGGGCTCGGTCTCTGTTTCTCTCCGCTTTGGATCGGGGATTGGCGGCAGTAGAGCATCAACCTTGGAGGCGATTTCCTTAGGCGTTGTCCTTGCCTCGTTCGTTTTATCTGGATCGATACTTGTTAGCCACATGCCAAGTAAACCCAACACCAAGACGAATACATACTATTGTTATTAACACGGTTGGAGGCCGATGACGAGGGCCTTTGACGCCCATTGGCGGCTTGGCCGTTATTCTGTTGAGTTCGTGACGACTGTGGTCGCGCAGCGGCGGGAGCTGGTCCTGGGCTGGCTGCGCTTCGTGGAATCGCCGCAGCACCGAAAACCGGTAACGGCGCCAAAATGGGCGACTCGGTTGTTGAGACGCCGGTGTTATTCCTGTACTTCAGGTCAGCCAGTGTTCTGCCTACTTTCTCATTTTTCGCGCCTCCATACCTTTTGCGTGCGGCAGCCGAATTCGTATTCGGTGCCCGAGATCTCTTCTTCGTACCATCAGACCCTTCTTTCGCGGCCATCCGGCCCGACACATTGCCGCTGGCGGAGCGCTCCATAGCAGTCGATGTGTCCACGGGAGGGGGCCGCTCAACTTTGCGACGCTTCGTCTGGCCCGACGTCCCGGTCGTCGCATGCGCATTACCAGCGGCGGACGCATCGCCCGCGGCCGCGGCACGCGCCTTATTAGATTGTCCCTTGCGACCGCCGGCGGCGCGAACCTCATCCAGATCGGACTCGCCGTGCGCCCGGCGCTGTCGCCTCGCCATGACAGCCTCACGTCGCGCCTCGCTCCGCGACGCGGCCTCGGCCTCCTGTAAGGCATGAACTATATCCTTGTTGGAAGCGACCTCTCGGCGAGGACGCTCATTGGCAGCAGTCTTGGCCGCTGCGTTTCGATTCGAGTAGGCCCAATGGGTGAGACTGCCGAGGCGGGCCTCATCGCTGATCTCGCCAGCAATGAAAGGGAAGACGGTATCCAGACGCAGAAGCTGGCGATCCAGCTCGTCGTTGGCATTGGAGATCACATGGTTCTTCTCGTCCGCCGTCATCATCAGGTCCGAGAGGGTATGTCGTACGCGATCGAAGAGAACCCGACGGTTTCTGCTATCCTGGGATTCGGGTTGTTGAGGAAGGCCCTAATACAAGCATCACAGATATCAAAGTCAGCATATCATCACTATTACTTCGTCACAGATAATGGTCTTGATGACTTCGTCTCTGCGCGAAAGAGGGCAGGGAAAAAAAGGATTTGACATTGACCCACCGCAGGCAAGAGATCATCGCGCACCGCCCCAGCAATGACGGGGGCCGGGTTCGGAGGAAAAGGGACTGCTTGTGACTCTGACGAGGTCTTGAGTAGCTGGAGTAGATTATCCTCCAAGGCCCATGCCTTCGCATCGACCTCTTTCAGCAACGAATTGTGCCGACGAAATTCTCGGGGTAGGGCGGCGATGGCATCGGTGAAATGTGTGATGGCCGGATAGAATCCATGAGGGATGGGAGACGTGGGAGTAGTGTCTGCCAGCGAGGAGTGTCCATAGGCGAAAGACGAGCGTCCTTGGGTCTTGGAGGTGCGAGATGGATTGGTCCGTGTCTGGCGCGCTGACTGACGGGCACTGGAGGAGCCCTGAGGAGGGACGGCCGACAAAGGAGCCGCCGAGGACATGGTGAGTGGAAAAGAAGGATTCCCAGCTGGATTCAATCAGGGAAAAGGAAACGATCGCAAAGCACGGCTGACAGGCGCCTCAGCAATGGGAACATGGAACATGGAACCGCGGACGAGACGACGAAGAGATGGGAAACTCGCAGTGCGGAGAAACGACGAAACGGAGAGGGCCTTCTTTCCTCTTTGGGATCGGCATCAGGTGATTGGTGCCTGCGGACTCAGGCTGACTTACTCGGCTGACTCAGCCATCGGGTTTGGACAATGACATCACTCATCCTAAATTTAGCTCCTACAGGAAGCTGCCAAAACAAAAAAATGGGAAAGAAAAAAAAAAAAAGACAAATCGATATTATACCAAAGTCCTTAATTTACATGCACAGAAATGGAAATCGAACACGGGGAAAACAACAAAACAACAAAATGAAAACACATGCTAGGTATAGACAGGCCAGATCATGCTGCTTATGCCAGAGACGACGGGCACAAGCACAAGCGGAGCATCAACACCGTGCAACTATGCAGACAACAAATGGAAAATCATACATAGGAGAACGAAACGAGTAGGCGCTGCCGTCTCTCTCTCCCTTCAAACAACCACACACGGCACCCGGAAAGTCTATGCTGCTACAATACCTTCTTATTGAGCGTTCCAACTCATCTAACTCTCTCTCTCTCTCTCAACTAACTTACTCGCCCTTCAAGCGGTCCTGGTGGACAGAGAAGGCATCCTCGAGGAATTCTTGCTCTTCCTTCAAGTGGACGGACTTGAGACCCGAGGCCACGGAGGCGCTAGGGGCACGACCGGCGTAGAGGACGTGACGGCGGTTGTGGTGCTCCGTCGCGTTCAGCAGGGTCTCAATACGAGGCTGGGTGTAGCTCCAGGCACCGGCGTTGAGAGGCTCCTCCTGAGCCCAGACGACGTTACGGGCGTTGGGGTAGCTGTCCAGGTTCTCCTTGAGCTGGGCCCAAGGGAAGGGGTGAAGCTGCTCAATGCGAGTGATGGCGGTGTTGCGGATACCCTGGGCCTCACGGTGCTTCACAAGGGTGGCGTAAACCTGGCCGGAGCACAGGATGACACGCTCGATCTTCTCGGGCTCGTCAATGGCCGTGCCGTGAGCGGGGTCGGGGATGATCCACTGGAAGTGAGAATCACCAGTGAATTCCTCGATGGAAGAGCGGGCAATCGGGTGACGCAGGAGAGACTTGGAGAAGAAGATCACAAGGGCTGCAAAGAACAAATTAGCCTGGTAACTCCCCAAAAAGTGACAAATAGGCACTAACGCTTGCGGAACTGGCGGTGGATCTGGCGACGCAGGATGTGGAACAGGTTGCCAGGGGTGGTCATGTAGGCAATCTGCATGTTGCAGTCCTGGTGCTGACGGTCGAGCTTGTCGGCGGAGGGGTAGGCACGAGGCTCCTCGTTGCAAAGCTGCAACCAACGCTCCATTCTACCGGAAGAGTGCTCAGGACCCTGGCCATCATAACCGTGGGGCAGAGACACGACAAGACCGGAACGCTGAAGCCACTTGGACTCTCCGGAAGCGATGAACTGATCGATGATGCACTGAGCGTTGTTGGCGAAGTCACCGAACTGAGCCTCCCACATCACGAGCGCGTTGGGCGAGGTCAGAGAGTAACCGTACTCAAATCCAAGACTATATTGTCACCAGGTTAGTTTGGGTCACCCGGAACAATGGAAGTTGGGCAAGAGGGAAGAGATGGGTAGGAAACTTACGCTCCGAATTCACTGAGGGAGGAGTTGGAGATGACGAAGCTACCCTGGTCCTCGCTGATGTTCTGCAAACCAGTGTAGGTGTTCTCGGTCTCCTGGTCGTGCAAGACAGCATGACGCTGGGAGAAGGTACCACGCTCAACATCCTGACCGGAGACACGGACATGGTAGCCCTCGTTGACCAGGGAACCGAAGGCCAGAGATTCGGCGGTGGCCCAGTCGATGTTCTGGCCCTCGTCGACGGTCTTCTTACGGTTCGACAAGATACGCTTGAGGTTGCGGTGCAGGGTGAAGCCCTCGGGAGCATCGCTGACCTTGGCGGCCACGTGCTTCAGCAGAGGACCCTCAACACCGGTGGGAAGGTGAGGAAGGACCTCATTGGCTAGCTCCTTGGGGGACTTGAAGCCGTTCCAGGCGGAGGTCAGCCACTCCTTACCGGTAGGCTGGTAGTCCTTGCTGCGGTCGAAGCTGTCTCCGAGCATGCCCCAGACCCACTTCTTGTGCTCGTCGATGTCCTCCTTGGTGAAGGTACCCTCGGCAATCAGCTTCTCGACGTACTTGTCGAGCTGGAGCTTCTGCTCCGCAATGCGCTTGTACATCAGGGGCTGAGTGAAAGAGGGCTGGTCGGTCTCGTTGTGACCCTGCTTACGGTAGCAGACAATGTCGATGACGACGTCGCGCTTGAACTCGGCACGCCAGTCGGCAGCGACCTGGCAGACGTAGTTGACGGCCTCGACGTCGTCGGCGTTGACGTGGAAGACGGGGGCGTCGATGGACTTGGCGATGTCCGAGCAGTAAGGAGTGGACCGCGAGTAACGGGGGTCGGTGGTGAAACCGATCTGGTTGTTCACGATGATGTGAATGGTACCGCCGGTGGAGTAGGCGGGGAGAGAGTGGAAGCCCATGGTCTCGTACACGACACCCTGACCGGCGAAGGCAGCATCACCGTGCAACAAGACACCCATGGCAGTGTTGAACTCGGTCTCGTCCTTGTTGTAGTGCTGGATCGAACGGGCCTTTCCGAGCACCACGGGGTCCTCGGCCTCTAGATGGGAGGGGTTGGCAACCAGAGACAGCTGGACCCGCTTACCGGAGGGCGTGGGACGCTCGAAGTTCATACCCAGGTGGTACTTGACGTCGCCGGATCCTTCGTCGGAGGGTTCGGTGGAACCGGCGAACTCGCTGAAGATGGACTCGTTGGGCTTACGGACGACGTTGGACAGGACGTTCAGACGACCACGGTGAGGCATACCGATGACGATGTCCTTGATGCCGTAGTCGACACTGCGGTCGATCAGCGCCTTCATACCGGGCACCAGGGTTTCGCAACCCTCCAGACCGAAACGCTTGTCGTTGGGGAACTTGGTGGCAAGGAAGGACTCGAAGCTGTGACTCCAGATCAAGCGGTCCAGGATGCGGCGCTTGTCGTCGACCGAGTACTTGTAGGGTTCGGGGATTTCGAAGCGGTCGCGGATCCAGTCGCAGGGCTTGCGGTCGGGAATGTGGATGTACTCCACGCCGTACGAGCCGCAGTAGATCTTCTCGCAGGTGGCGATGATCTCACGCAGCGACATCTTCTTGCGCTCCTCGGTGGCAAACCGCGGCAAGATACCGGGTCCGAGGGTGAACTCCTCGTCCAGATCGCGCTCGGTGAAGCCGTAGTGGTCGAGCTCCAGCTCCTTGGGCTTGTTGTAGCCAAACGCCTCGGCCTCGCCACGGATGCCTAAGGGGTCGATCTTGGCCTTGTGGTGACCACGCGCCTGGTAGGCGCGGACCAGCAGCTGGACCTTCAAGTGATTCGTGACGTCGGTACCGGGACCGATGTCGAGACCGGCGCCCGGCATCGTCTGAGGCACACCGCCGGTAGGGGTGGGCACGAGAGTCGGAGGAGGTTGGAAGGCCTGGGAAACGGGCATGTTTCCCTCCTCCATGTTCTTGAAATACGTTTGCCACGAGATGTGTACGCTGGACGGATCTCTCTTCCACGCCACGTACATTTCATCGATATAGTTGGCGGTGTTGCCCGACAGGAAGGAATCGTTGGCATCCTAGTTAAACACCCACGCGATTTGCGCAGAACACGTTAGTAAAATCTTGAATTTCGCGCTGCAGTGCACAGTAACACTGTCGCGTCGACCATGTCGATCACAAAGGTCCAGAAGTGTAGAGCTTACCACACCCTCCGCAGAGGCAGCATAGTGTCTCTTGCCATTCAACGTCCGGTCAACGACGGCAAGCGGGCGTCTCGCCGACACGCCGAATTTCGAGCTTTGGCTGGAAGCAGTTCTGGCGGTTGAGGCAAGAGAAAAGGGTCGTCGGCAGGCCGAGCAAGCGGCTCCGCGCAGCACACCACTGTTGGCGGCCTTGACGGCTGTAGTACGAAGCATTGCGGGAAATTTTCCGGACCTCGAGGGAGCTCAAGAAAGGGAAAAAAGTTCAAGCAGGATGCTCCGAAACGCGAGGTTCGGATCTTTTTTTTTTTAAAGAGAAGAGAAGAAAAGCGCCAGATGAACACTGACGTCTAAAAAGCGGGAAATAAAAAAGAAATATAAGTCTCAGCTGAGCGCTGTATTCTAAAAAACCTGTACACGTGAGAATTAAAGATTGGTTAGTCGACTGTCGGTGCTGGCTGCAGATGCCGAGATTTCAGGCGGACTAAAGGAACGACGGGGAAGACGCACGATGTGTAACCTATGGGAAAAGAAGGAACAAAACACAGGTGTCGACTAGTATTGCCGTAGCACCTGCACAGAAACGGGACTCATCAGAGTGCGATAGCACACTCGACAGGTAAAACGCGGAGCGGAGATAGGGAGGAAGGGAAAAGGTAGCAAGAGCACCTGAAGCGTAAGGTATGGAAACAGGAGAGAAGGACAGAGAGCAAAGAGGATGGGAGGAGCGAGAGGTTTGCCGAGATCTACCGCTATGACGGGGCTGCCTGCCTGTGGCTGTCCTCTCTGTCCCAGCCACAGTCGCTGACTCATCTCCCGGTTGCTGCAGCCGGGCGGCGGCCCGAGGAAGGGCCAGACGGAGCGCTCCGTAGGGACGGGCAAGCATTAATGCCTCACTGCAGCAAAAACCTGCCTGCAAGCGGGCAGCCGCACCGCCACAAGTCGGCTATGCGAAATTCCCGTGGCGGGTTATTGCGGATGGCCTCAGACCAATCAGCAGTTTGGATTATGTTTACATCCGGCCCCTTAGGTAATGCTCATGAGATCACGGCCGGTCACAACAAGAATAGTGATAATCATATATTAAGAATGAATAGCAAACACACGATGTGGCCTCCCAGAATTTGCTCAATCAAGCTGCGTCAACTCATTATATCGTATCAATCAGATGGTACAGATCACGGACTGCTCCTGCCGGGAGACATCCCAACATCTCCCGCCATTAGATGCGTCATATAGCAGAGACAAAAGTAGGAGGGGGGATGAATAAAAAATCATTAAACAGAAGAATAGGCGGATATCAAGGAAACAGAAATGAAAAAACAAAACAAACAAACAAACACAAAAGAGCCCTATATATATAGAGACGTATATTTACACAACTCCCCCCGGTGATTATCTTAGGTAAATGCGCCCCGGTAGGATTCCCGGATTGGTGATTCGGTTGTGCTTGGACCTCCAAACATGTCCGGAGGAGCGTTGTAGACGGTGGGACTGACATCCGAAAGACCGGTGAAGCTGGCGCGGTTGGATGCAGTTTGGAGATTGGGAGGGGGGCTTCCGCTGCCGCTACGCAGGCTGCCGTTGCTCCCTCCCCAAGCTCCCCGACGGAGCCTGATGAGGGCACTGAGGGATATATCGTCCTCGATGTCTCTGAGATCGACCAGCTGTGCCAGCCCGGGGCTGAGAGGGTTCGAGTGCGCCACCCCGTGAGCGGATACCGAAATCATGGAGTTGCGCGTACTTCCTAGCTCGCTGCGCTCGGTGATAGGCGTCAGGCTGGGCTCTCGGAATTTGCCCCGGCTGCTGAAGTTACGAGTGACTCCTTCAACGCCACGAGATCCGAAATATCCGCCGTTCGTCAATTCCCCGTTACCATGAGCTTGCGCATAGAACCCAAATTCCTGCCCATAGAATCCTTCGTCATCATTTTCAAGGGCTTCTGCATTGGCGGCGGCAATGATAGGATCGTCGTAGAATGACATATCGTTATCGTCGAAATCAAAGTCCTCGGGCCCTTGTTCGAAGCTGGCCATATCGACCGACTGGTTGAGGTGGCTGTCGTCCGACACGAGACCCGGCTGAGGGCTCAGGGACTGATCAACGTCTTCTTGGTTCAACGATCGCTCGCTCACGCTCACGTTACGGTCAAACCGGTCATCGGTGGCGTTTTGGTTGGCCGCCTTTGCTAAAGCATTATGAAGAGCTTCAAGGTTGTGCTCGGACAGCACACCCCCATGGGCCTTCGCCACTCCCCCATCTTGCATATCCTCCGGGACATATGAGTACTTCCTAGAGCCCGACTGGTACTCGCTGGCTATACTAGGAACATGTCTAAGTCCGCCATTAGGGCCCACATCCAAGCTGAGTCCACCGAGGGATGACAGCGCATCTTTCAAGTCATCCTTCCTCTCCGGTTGCTGCTGAGGGGGCGGAGCAGTGCGTTCAGAAGTCCGCTTTCGGTCGTAGAGATGACTTGTCTCGTCGTCGAAGATGGACTCATCAAATTGCTCACCCCCGGCGTCAGCCGTGAGATCACCAAATTCTCCGTCATCAAAATAAAGATCATCATCGTCGTCAAGGAACTGAGTCGCGTTCGGAGGAGGTCCTGTCGGTATCTGTGACATCTGCGCCGGAGACTTCGTCGGCTGGAGCGGCGGCGGAACCTCGACTGGTGGTTCCGACGAAGGTGAAAGACTCGAGGTGGGGTCCTCGGTGTCGTTCGAGTTCGCAGGAGCAGCAGCAGCAGCAGCAGCAGCAGCAGCAGGATCAATAGCTAGATGACTCTGTCCAGGTGCAGTGGGGGGTATACTTGGAGCATTCTGGCTGATGGGGCTCGCAATGACTGGAGATAGACCGGGAGCTAGCCATGACTTGTTCAAGATGTCGCCAGGGCCCGAGAAACCGCTGAATTGATCTTCCTCATCCGCATCGGCGTTCACACCCGGAATCTTCTCTTCTAGACCATCCAAGTCATCCAAGAGCTCGTTGTCATAGTCGTCCTCGCCATCACTGAATTCGGGGTCCTCCAGTCGAGCCTTCGCTCTCCGTGCGGCTTCCTTTTCCTTGTGCTTTTCTTCCAAAAGCTTCTCCTGCGTCGATGACTCGATACCGTTCATATCAAAACTGAACCGAGAAGCATTGCTTTTGAGGTGCTTTGGTAAGCCAGACGGCTGGTGGGGCACGAACTCGATCGTATCCGAGTCTTGCGGGATATCTGCGGGCTCGCTGGGTGCCGGGGGTGGTGGACTGTCTTTCGGCTGGGGATCATCGGGCTTCTCATCTTGTTCCGGTACCCTCGTGGGTAGGTTCCGGGCAAAAACGGGGAGTGACTGTGCATCATTCTCACGAGGCGGCGGGTTCGTCAGTAGTGAAGATTGTAGATAGCCTTTGCTTTCAATCTGCAGCGCTCGCTGATCATCCTCGAAATGCTCCTTAAAGGCCGGAGAATATTCACTATGCCGCTTGTTCTGCTCGTTGGTCGCTACTATCTGATCGCTCACATGTCGTTGGGTTCCGTTCGTGGGTCGGGGTTGATCACTCGAGTTGCGGCTTGCGACTTCACGTAGAAGAACGGGTGCGGCCGATACGTTTCGACGAGGTCGAGGGGCGGAGAAGTCGTGGACGATGCTTCCACGGATTCGAGGATCATAGTCATCAGGAATGGCCGGCACGAGATTCCGAGCACCAATTTTGACATCCTCTGTCCGCGGACTAACGATCTGAGACGAGCGTCTGCGAGCCAAAAGAGACATGGGATTCAATAGGTGAAGCCGCGTCTTGCCAGACTTGTGGTGGATGGTATCCGCCGGGACATCTCGATCGACTTGACGTCGATGGCTTGCGGACTCGAATCGGCTCTCCCTCTGCGACGCGGTTGTCTTCTCCGCCGGAGAGTCATCGGGAGAGGCTTTCAGCCGGAAAGGGCCTGAATGGACGATTCCGGGTGTCGACAAGCGTTTAGACTGGTTATCGGAGGACTGCGAATGCGCATTCAGGAATCCCTTCCCAAACGACCGTCGGAAGGGCGAGTTCGGTTTGGACGATTCGCTATCGGCGTGTTCGGGACGCGGGGCCGTGAAGGATGGCTGCGAGGAGTTGGATTGAGACGTAATGGAAAGGTCTCGATCGCACTCATCCGGACTCGAGTGAGGCCGAATGTTATTTTCTGCGGCGGCGGACGGCGCGGCGAGGTTGGCCGACGAGGACGAGGGCGCATTGACGCTGGTCGCGGAGACGGCGACATTCGTTTTGTCGGCATCGAAGTCGGGCGAAAAGTCACCCCAGCCGTGGGGGCTCGAACCATCGGTGGTAGCAGACGAGTCCCCAAAGGTCGTCGGCAAAGCAGCAGTGTTAGGGATCACCGGCAGCTGCGGCGGGTTGCTGGCGCTTCTCGTGGAGGCAATGGTCGGCGTGGGCTGGGCGGACGAGACAGGAGACGCACTCGATCGACGATGGTCGCGACGCCAGTAGGAAAAAACGGTGGAGGGTGGCATCGTTGAGTCTGCGCTCCAAAAGCACACAGAGTGCTTTTATCCGAGCGAACGCTCTGTTTAGACGACGCAAAAATTGGCCATGGTGTGCGCGCGCAATTATTCCAGGCGTTGCACGGAGGCGCCAGATTAATTGCAGGCGTGGGGCAGCTTAACCTTGTCTCACCCTAGAAAGGCGGTGCGATAAGAATAGCAGCACTCGAAATTAATTAGTTGGAAACACGAGCAAATCATTCGATTCGAGCGGCTCGGATAGTTGGAGGACCCTTTCCTGGCCGATCATGACCCTGGAGGGGGAATAATTGAAGATGAAGATGAAGATGAAACAGTAAAAAAGAAAAGAAAAGAAAAGAAAAGGAATAGGAGTTTGGGTTATCCAGGAACGGAAGAATGTTTGTTCTACCACTTTTTCTTTCCGCATGCGGCGTCCCCGGTAGTACCACTGCATTTCTCAACTGTCGTGCAGCGGTAATAAGAAAAACTAATTAACGTAAGACGGACATTGCTGAAAATAAAAGATACTCGGCTAGCCCAAAAAAGAATTCCCTGAATTTTACTGTACAATGCAAAGATAATTCGCTAATCTAAACACACCAAGGCTCATGCTTCCGACCATCCTGATCATGCTAATATGGACGATAAAAAACTCAAGGGAGGGAAAGGGAGACAAGAGATAAGCGGCGGACAATTAATAGTAGGGATAAAGGGAGTCCTGATCAAGCACGCTCAAAGACACCAAGGAGACAAGTAACAAGAAAGGAGGCAACGAGACCAGAGAAGCTATACAATGCTCTGTCTCCAACGATCAATCACATCCCGCTGACCGGGATCAATCACTTGCGGACCGTCCTTGGCATGGTAATTATGTGGCATGGCGTAGCTCATATGGCCCATCCCGAGCACCGCATCGGAGTAGAAGGTGTTTGGATGGGCCATGGCAGGTCCAGGCCCAAACGAGTCCGTCCTCGCGGCTCCTGGATGGTAGGACGCACGCCCGGACATTCCGAAATTCGTCGGGAATTGTTGCATGGACATCCGGTGATCAAGATGGCGCTGAGTAGCGGGTCTTTGGGTTGCTGCGGCCTCGTTGAATGACGGGCGAGGCACGGGGACCGGTCGCCGGGCGTGGAGGATGTCCGCCATGCTTCTGCGGTATCTGGGGATCTTGAGGGTAGAATTCTTGGCTTCCGCCTCCTTCTGCAGTCGAGCGCGCCGCTGTGCCAGCGTTTCGTCCTCGGGGGCAACCTCCTTGGGCTTGTCATCATCGCCCTGCAAGTGACTGAGTTCCGCAAGGATCTCCGTGGCGAATTCACTCTCGGCCGCGGTGCTCGTGCGGTTGTTTGTCTTCATGCGTGCAATGCGCTGCGCCAGAGTTTCTCCCTCGTCGCCGCTCTCGGGCTCCGCCGTTCCTTCAGCGGCCGGGACCTGCTGCGAGTACATCGTCACTGGGCGCCTGTCAGGGGTACGGGGCGGAGGGGGCGGCGCTTCACCACGTAGTCGTGCGCGGCGGTGGCTCAAGGGTTCCCCTTCCTCCATCTCTCGTTTCTCCATGAGGCCCAACGGGCGCTGCTCGTCGGCCGGGTGTGTTTTGTCCGGGAAGAGCATGCCCAGCGGCACGTCGTCGTCCTCTTCCTCGTCGGCATTGTGAGCATCGTTGCCCTCCCAGGCCAAAGTGATAGGCCGCTGCCGCCTATGCTCGCTCTGCTTTTGAGCCACGGCATCCATTTGCAGCAGAGTGGAATGCATGGCATCGGTAGCGGCAGTGCGGTTCCGTTGTTTAAGTTGATGCTTCCTCTGCTCCAGTTCCGCGAGAAGGGTCGTGGGAGGCCCCGTGAACGGAACCTCCGGCTCCTTCTCTTCCTCCTCGTCACCATAGGGGTGCTCTCCATCCTGTTCAGGGCCGTCACGAGATCCTTCGCGTAACGATGTCCCTTCATGTAAGTTCGCCGCGTCTGCCTCCGTTTGGAGATATGGCTGACGTGACGCGAGTGAGTTGGCCCGCGTGTCGGAGTCGGAGTGTTGGGGAGCCAGCAGGGCACTCCGGGAGGGGTTTTTCTTGCGTAACACCTTGGGCTTGGTGCTGCCGTAAACCTCCCGGCCCAGGTGACCGGCATACGGATGGTCGGTGAAGGCAGTCACGGGGGCGTGTGCCGAGGCATCGAGGATGCTATCAAGCGTCTCTACGGCCGATTCTTTCTTGACGTCGATGTCAAGCGTCGCAGCCGGCGGCTCGAAGAAGACGCTGGCACGAAGTTGGGGAGGGAGGTTTTTCAGCTGCTTCTCAGGCTTCGCTGCGCCTCCATCCTGGGAATCCGTCGCCGCCAGCCACGGGGCCGACTTTCGATTCTCCGAAGGGACCGACCCCAGTAGTTGTGTGCGACGCTTCTCCCGGTCGGCATTGGGCCGTTGAGACAGCTTCGGCGGCAGGTTCAACATCCTAGGCACCGGGGCAGGATAGAACACCATGTCTTCGCCATTCCGGGGCTCCTTGTGGGACTCAGAGTTTCGGGCTAGTGGTGGCCTCGTCAAGGACAGCTGTCGCGCCAAGTCATGGCCCCTGTCCCCTGGCACGTAGTGTACACCGTCAAAGTCTCCAAACAAGGCCCGAGCCTGTTGATACGTGTCGGTCGAAGCCGCCGTGGCGGGTCGTTCGATCTCATCGGGGGGCGAAAGGTCGTACTGATGATCATGATTGTAGTTGAAATCGAGGTCGACGTGGCTGAGGTGGTTATGAGGCGGCGGTGGCGGAGGTAGCATAGGTTCCACGGGATCTCGAGTTGTCGGTTGGTAATAGCGTTCTTCAGGACCATGTTCGGACACCTGTGCCAGGCGCGAGGCCGATTGAATTGACCCCTGAGAGGACATGTTGGCCCGGGAGGGGAAGCCGTCAGCGGCGGTCGCGTTTGAGGCGGAACTGGAGGAACGTTTCTTCTGTTCGCGGTTCATGCGGCGAATTTCACTTCCGATATCTGCCGAGCTGGAGCTGAGACGTTCGGCACTCCGTTCCAGACGCTCGACATTATTGAGGTAGGCACCTTGGAGCGATTCAAGGCCGGGGGTCGGGTGGGAGAGAGGAACGGGGGTGTCGGTGATAGGGGTCCGGAGGGGCGGTTCAGGGGAGCCGGCGTGGGCAGTGGGCGAGGTAGCGCTCGTCGTAGCGCCAACGGTAGTGTTGAGCGGAGGCACGCGACGGGGACTATTAGACCTCCGGCTCGCCGAAGGATCGACGGCTTCGTAGTCATCTTCCTCGACCATATCGTAGCTGGTGGAGGTCATGGATCGGATCATCGAGCCTAAACTTGGGATATTCGATTCCTGGGCACTCTTCGCGGTCTGCAAATGAGAGCCTCCTCCAATATGATCCGCATCTAAGGGTAGCTGTTGGAACGATCGGCGACGTGGAGAGGGACTGCGGGAGGCATCAGAGTCGCTGGCGTTGTAGGTCGCATCATGGTCGGCCTGGGAGACGGCGTTGTACGCCATTTTGGTTTTGGAGGCTTCCTTTTCAAGAAAGTTTCGAGGTAAGCAACGTGCGGTGATGGTCCATGCAAAGGGAGACCCTAGATACGGTGGCGGAGGCGCAACTGGCGAACCGGACGAGATGAGGGAAGTGGACGGCGGAGGAGCATGCGAGGATAAGGATAAGGCAGAGGAAGGGATGGTTAAGATGGAGCAAGGGAGGGTTGACGAAGGGAGGGCAGGGAAGGGTCAGGAAAGCGAAGACAGGCCGACCGCGGGAAAGAAAGGGAAGTAAAAGAAGGGATCGAAAGAGAGAGAGAGAGAGACCGTAAGAAAGAAAGAAAGAAAGGATGGAGGGAAAGGAATTAATTTTCATGTCATGATTGGGTTTTCCAGGTAAATTTCCATTCTATATTTGGTATCTTCCGGGGGGGCAACCCGCATGCGCCACCGTTTGCGTCTGGCTCTCGGTCTTGGTCGCATTGCAAATACACCGACCGTCGCGTATCTTTCTTTTTTGCAGTACCCAGGGCTGAATACTTTCTTAGCTCTAGCTCTACTACTTCGACTCCTCTACTCCTCTCCCTCCCCTGAATCCCCCTCCTGAAAGCCTCGGGTGCGTCATAAACGTCGACACCAAAGTGATAAAACAAGGCACAAGGGTCTGGTGAACAGGGCAGAGAGCGCAGACCCGCCGCGGTGATAGGCCAGCGCCGTCGTTGTTGGCGTTAGCGGCCATTTTAAGGCCGGCCTAGCGCTCTCTAGCAGTCTTGGGTTCGATTTCAAATCCCAGGTCTGGAGGATGGACAGTGTCCAGTGTTCGGCGTCCACGGTGTCCGGTCGGTGGATGCAACGGAGACGAGGGATGCAGAAGAAAAGGAGAAAGAAAGGGAGGGGGAATGTTGCAGAGATCGTCTCCAAAATCCGTGTTGATCGGAGGACATCTTCAAAATGTTCGATATCAATTATCAATACCTAAAAATACGGTGGAGCCAACCGAGTCTAGACCCAACTGGGCAGTTCCTTGGATTCATCCGGAAGGAACTCTCGTGCCCGCCGTGAGTAGTGAGTACCTGAAGATACTTTCATTATTATTATCTGAGATCTCCACCATGCCCATAGATATTAAATACTAGTATTCACGGCAATGGTTCCTCGGAATCCCACCCTTGCCGCCTCTTCAGGCACGGACAGCCGCCGTAGTGAAGCCCCTCGCAAGACTCTCCTCCCGATTGGCAACGGTCTGTGCGCTGGTCTCTTCAGGGTTCAGTCGGAGTCTACGGTGGATGGCTGTATGTACCGTCAGGTACCCCCGGGTAATCAACTCGACGTTATCCCCTTATCAACGGGGTAATTTAGTGCTTACTCCGGGGTCTTTCCTCGTGTCTCATGAGAGATCCCAGTGCGAATAGTAGACAAGAGACATGCGTGACATCCGGATTACACTTTTAGTCAAGACACGTGCACACGGCCCAAGTAGACTATAGATAAACATCTGAGATAAACATCTAACCTAACTTCCACCCCCCTATCTCCTATATTTTAAAGAAAAAGGAGAGCAAAGACATGCCCCGGAAATATCGCTAGTCAAATTCCACATAATCAATCAATCAATCAATCTTCATCCGCCATCCGGATTCGCTGTCTCTGCGCCGTCCCCGATCCAGACGCCGCCGCCGACACCGACGACGAACCACTAGCCGCGGCGGCCGCCTCGCCCTCTAACCGTTGCCTCAGATCCTCGTACTCGCCGCCGCCTCCGCGTCCACTCCGCCGCGGGATGCGTCGGCTCTCCCGCTCACCCACCATCCACGCGGGCACTCGCCACGCGCTGCCCGCCGACAACCCCGGCAGGAACTCCATGCGCCACGCCATCCCCACGCCCCAACCTAGCACCGCTGGCAACAACATCCCCGGGAACTGCGACAGCGCTAACTGCGCGGCGATCAGGTAGGTTGTGGACTTGTCGGAGAGGAGTAGGGTGAGCGATTTGCCGGCCGTCGACGATTCAGAGGCAGAGTCAGATGTCGATGTGGATGTGGAGATGCGGTATCGAACGGTGTGCGGGATCGAGGCGTGGTATTGCGCCAACAGGGCGAAGAGCGAGGCGGTCGGCCCGGAGGGGAGGTAGCCGATCGTGTTGAGGGACAGGGGGCGCACGAGAAGAGCTAGGAGAATGGGTGGGAGGAGCGTGGTGTAGGGGAGAGTGGAGAGGAGGAAAGTCTGATAAAAGGGATTCTCCCGTTAGCTAGCTGCATAGAAAAGAGGAAAGGGAGGGGGGGCTGTAGATACGTACCGCCGTCTTGCTCTTTCCCCAGGCGCGCTCGACGACCCGACAATGGTAGACGATCATGGCGGCGAACAGGGCCTCCGTGCTGTTGGCAAATCCCGCAACCTGCCAGATCAGCATGCGCCAGTACTGCCCGTACGGGCTGAGGTGTGGGGAGACATGGATGCTGGACAGGTGCTTGAGGTCGAGGATGGAGAGGACGACGGAGGCGGCGATGGTGTAGATGAGGAGGAGCTTGGTGATCGGGGCGTTAGTGAGGCCGGGGGTGAGCATCCTGGGTTTTCTTTCGGTCCCTCTTTGGGGGGTGGTTCGTACGTTGATCGAGTCTATGGACTGGTTGGAGAAGAGGGTTGAGGAGGAACTAAAGCTGCGAGGGAGTCGATCGAACACGTCGCGTGAAAGGCGGGCCGAGGTCCGGTGGGGGAGGTTCCTCCTAACGGCGTTAAGCACAGCTAAAGGGCTGTCACTGTCAGTCTCTCGGCATGCCGATCACCATGTCCTCGTGTACTTCGTAGGGTAAACGGAACTCAGATTGCATTATGTTCGCAACTTCTATTGTACACTACATTAAATTCTAGCTACTTCGTTATGTAGTCGGTGGCATCTCTTTCATTTCCTCCGCATACGCCGTGTGGTATCGTGTCAAGGCCGTTTCCAATGCCTGGTTCGTGGGCCCCAGAAGCCGGTTGACAGCTTGCTCGCCCCCCGGCACTCCCGCCAGATTGAGTCGGATCCTCCTCCCTGTGGCTTCGAGCACCTCGCGTGCATGCCGCTTAAGTCGATCGACCTCCACCTGTCGCTCCGCCTCTGCATCCTGCGCCACGGATTTGATGCGCGCCTGGGCCCGGTTTAAGGACTCCACCAGGGATGCGACTTCGCCGGCACGGTCCGAATTCCCCGAAAGGAATGCCTGCCAGAACTGATGCAAGAACTCGGTCGTCGTGGCATGCGTCAGGATGAGGCGGTCGTAGAGGTTGGTGGACAGGCCGTAGGTGTCGGTGCTAGACGAGACGTCCGTCTGCGCACGCCGTTCTCGAATAGCTTCCAGGATCTGGTTCGACGCTCGTTGTAAATTAGCACGGGAGCCAACCTTCTGGCGCTGCTTCTGCTCGTCGTCGTCGCTGTCCTCTTCCGGCTCGACGAGCTTTCCCAGTGGAGCTGTCCCGTCCTCGGGCAGATCGCGTTCGACCTCGATGCGCAAGTCGCGCAGGATCTTCTCCGGGTCTTGTTTGGCGAAAAGCCGACTTTGTTCGTCGTCAGCGGCCTTGGAGTTGGATGCGAAGAATCGGCTCTGGTCCCGGATGTTGAGCAAGATGCGATTCTGCTGCTCGTCGCCACGAAGATCTCGCAGCTGCAGCTCATTGTACGTTTCCTCATCCATGCCAATCGGCGCGTGAGGATCGCGATCGGCGGGCGCCACGTTCGCCATGATCTTCTCACTCAGATTGTTTAGCGACCGAATGATCGGCACTTTATCTGAGCCAGACGGTCTCATGTCCAGATCCGGCCGGTTTCCTCGGCGTTGACTATTGTTCAGCTCGTTTCCCTCCAGATCAAGGAAATTAGGCACGTGTGATTCACGCGGTAGGTTCCCAGATTCATCGGCTTTGAGGTACTTATCGAGAACGAGGTCCGTGGGGTCGTTCTCCGAGATGCGCTCCCCTCGCATTTTCTTGAACAAACGACTTTGGAAGAACCGCGACCAAAACTGCTGTTCGCTGAGCTTCGGCACGTTCTCGTCGTAGACTCGTTTGATGAGGGGATGTTGCGAGAAGATCAACTGAATTTGCTCCTTGCTAATGTTCATCTTCGATACGTTATCCTCGACCCGCGGCTTCAACGTCGACAACACATTGTAGGACCCTCGCGTCTGGGCTCGCTCGATGGCATGGGCCCGCAAAAGGTGAACTCGCGTAGACCAGAACTGCGACATGAACTGCGGGGTGGTCATCGTATCGGGTTTGGAGGTCAGCGACTCCATCAACATGCGCTTCAGGTTGAGGTCCGAGTTCAGCAGGGCTTGTTGTAGTTCCACATCCGCTTTGAGCTTCTTGTCATCATCCCATGTATTCCTCCCCGAGCCCGTCGACGACACTGCATTCGCGATGGCCATCGCCGCCGACATGCCTTCACCGTTGCCCGCTGCCGGCGCGGGGCTAGCATGGCCAGTTTTAGCTGCTTGGATGGCTGTACTGAGAGCATCCTTGATGGCGTCCGCTTCTGCACGGGCGTTGGCACCGGCCGTGAAGGAGAAAACGTATTGTTCTGGGGAGCCGGCAGATGCGTTGGGGGGCTGGACGAAGATCTTCAGCATCACCTTGGGATTACTGGCGGGTGTTTGCTGCAAATCTAAACGCATCTCGCATTAGCACAACCTAAAGTACTCTGTATTCATCGTTGCCACAGGTGAGGGAGCTGGCAGGGCTTGAAAACTCCCCTCAGCTCGTCTCGGGAAAGCTTAAAGAGAGAGAGAAATAGCTCAGAGGAAAGAAATTTTGGTACGTACTTGTGATCTGAGCCACAGGTAACGTAATAGTTCCCGATGCACCACCAGCGGCCGGGATCCAAGAGACCGACTGGCCATCCTGCGACATGGTCAGGGTGCCATCTTTCTTCTTGTATGCCGCCGACCCGCTCGGAGGTGCCATCGTCTTGGAACTCGACAGCTTCCAAGGTCCTGGGCGGCGTGTAGGGATACACCCATCGGGAGAATAAAATCCCACCGGAGTATCCGACAGTTGCGGAAGGTCAAAAGCCTTCAAGCTGATCGACGAGGTCGTGGCAACTGAAGGAGCGGAAAGCGAAAGACGCAAAGGCAACTGTTGAGGCTCCGAAGCTTTCTTGGAATTACCGCATCACACGTGACTCCGCCCGGTGCGTCTAGCCCTAATAACCCAAAACGTCACGCCTGGGCCTTCGTACGTGTTGGTCTTATATGCAGTAGATAATAATTGAACCTCCAATGGATAGCAGGATATATGGCATTATATAACATTCCCATTGAAACTGTTCCTGTCCTTAGAATGACTAGCCTAACTCCTGTGTTAAAACAAGCAATGCACCTTGTTTTTTGCACCAAACCATCTTTCTGACTGGAACATGGACAAGATGGAAAAACAGAACAATCAAGCAATAAAGAAACCAAGCAACTGCGCGCAAAAACCGTGAAGAATTGGGATATCGCAACAACAGAACAAAAGACCATACTCAGACAGAGAACCCAAACGCTTAAAGACATCGCTCCCGCTATGCAGACAACTCAAAAGCCAAGCAAATCATGAGGCATGACAGCAGAATCCACCCACACTTTTGTCGCCCGCGCATGCTGGTGCAATTTGTCCTAATATAGCCACAACGAAAATCCTCCCGTAAATGCAAGATGAAGATGACAACAACAAAAGATCATCAGAAGAGAGAATAAAAAAAAAAAAGAAAAAGAAAAAAAAAAAAAAAAAAGAAAAGAAAAGAAAAGAAGAGAGGAGAATGGTAGAGAAACACATGATAAGCCTGACGACTCATGTTACCAGAGCCGCCAGACCAAGGCAGTTTATCTTGCCTGCCGAGCCCACTATGCCTCATTTCTTGAACATGTAGTGCCCGTAGATTCCGCCTACATCGCCGACGGCCACGGGGATCTTTCTCATTCCCCACCATCTAGCTCCCATTTTCCAGGAGCGAGCGCCGTCGTCGGTCATCTCGTTCGGCATGGAGGCAGGGTCTCGGACATACCATCCTCGGCGGCCTAGCTCCCGAACAGTCCACCCGGTAGAAGACTTGGCGGTTTTGGTTCTCTCACGCAGCGGAGCAATCAACTTTTCGTGGAATTCGATCACCTGGAGTGGATAGCTCTGCTGCGAAAGCAGGAGGCAGGAGCTGGTGTTGAAAACGGTTCCCAACGTCAATTGGGAGGCCTTGGTAAGATCGAGGTAGCACAGGGATGGGGGCACCCAGTTCTCCACGGCTTCAATCGCTACATCGCCTCCTCGTGGGGCAGGAGTGAAGAAGGCGTTCAAGTCCTGTGCGGACAACTCAGCCGAACCCAATCCCAATTCGCACAGATGCTTCGTCAAGGGGATAAGAGCCTGCGTATGGGCCGAGGTGACCTTGGCACCTCCGATGTTCAGAGAACGCAGCGAAGAGGGCAATTTCGGGAGCAGCGCGCTGACATCCTCTTCCTCCAGGAGTCGGTAGCGCGTAGGATCGGTCAGCAGGTTCAGGAATACCAGCGAGTCGGTGACGGCGGGATGAGTCGTCAGAAACTCGACCACCTTAGAGCCTCGCAGACGAATGGTTCGGGAAAGACTGAGGTGCGTGATCCGAGCGGTTTCGGGAATGGCAAAGAGGGCCGCCTCGTTGATCTGCGTGTGAGTAACGTCCAAGTGCGTCAGGTTTACCAGGCGGGGAAGTAGGGTCTCGAAGGCGGAGGCCGGAAGGCTGCTACATTCGTGCATCGAGATCCGCCTCAGATTCGGCATGGTCAAGGGAAGACTGAAGAGCGACTGCTGGAAAATCGCCGAAAAGGACTGCGTCGAACAACCGCAGAGATCGATCGCAAAGAGGTTGGGCAGGCCGGTGAACAGCTTCTGCATCACTTCGACGCTGATGTCGCCCTCCACGTGCTCCTGCAGCAAGCATTCCTTCAAGTTGGGCAGCAGATCCAAACATTTCAAGAGCGTCGTCGCGGTCAAATTCTGAATCTCGGAGTTCATCTGCTTCGTCCGGCCCAGTCCGACGGAGGTGAAATGGGAGAAATCGAGGCGACGAACGAGCGTTCCCAAAGCCGGATACTGCGACATATGGTTGAGAGCCTTGGAAAAGATGATCGAGTGCGGGAAAGTCATGTTTCTGTACAATACGGCGAGGGTGGCCGCGTGCAACGTCCGCGAGGCGAGAAGGCATGCGATTAGGTCGACGTTCCGAGGCGTGTACCCATTGGGCGGGACGTCCAACGCCAGCTTGGATATGATTTGGTCTGTGCCGGAATCCGTTAGAGGCTGTCGGCATCGAAGCATGGGGGATGCGGCAGGCATGAATACTTACCAAGCACCTCCGGAGGGAGCTTCTCCAGACTGGAAGTGCCGGGAATCGGCTTCTCTTCCTCAATAACCACCGGCTCCTCTTCCACCGCCAGCGTCTGGGTCGGCGGCGGGTCATCGTTTGGCGGCGGAGTAGCCTCCCAGGCCCAGCCGCGGGCGTGCATCTGTCCCAGGTGGCGAAGATCACTGTAGCTTCGGCTCAGGCTTTTCCCACCCAGTCGAATCTGCTTCCAGCCCAGGAAGCCGCCGCAGGGGCAGCAGAAGTCGGGAGAGGGCTGCATCTCGGCGGCACTGGGGTTTTGCTGTTCTTTGGAGGGCTGCTGCTGTTCTTCTTCGATGTGCGTGTCCACAAAGGACTGCGCAATGCCTACACATCCGCGACGAGGGACCGAATCAGTTACCGCCATCCACCATGAACACACACAACATAGGCCAGGACACGTCTCATACCGTCAACGTCTTCTTTGATCGAACCAACCGACGGACGGCGGCGACTGGTCGACCGGGAACCGTCAGGCGAAGAGCACTCGGAGGATCGAGGAGAAGATTGACGCGATAGACTGACGGGAGAGGAGTCTCCCTGAGGCACAAACGGATAGCGAGGTTTATGAAGGGAAAGAGCGGGAGAGGCAGTGGCGGAAGACATGACGGGCGACAGGAAGAGGCAGGCCTCTCGCACTCTATATAGGTGGAATCGTAAGACCAACCCCGATTAGGAAGAAGACGATAGGAGGGGAGAGGAGGAGAAACACAAATAAAATTATAAGTCCCAGTCCAAAAAAATTAAGGGAGAAAAAAAAAAGATCGTAAGAGGAAGGGGAGCAAAAGAGAAACGAGAGAAAGAACGAAAGAAAGAAAAAAAGCTTTTTCCTTTTTTTTTTTTTTTTTTCACACGCTTTTCCCCGGATTCCACAAACTCTTCCTAGTGCAGATTGGGAGGGGCGGCGGAGACAATGAAAATGCAGACCGGCTGAGGAGGCCAGAGGAAAGCTGTTAGTCACAGATTGCGGCGGATGGAACACTGGTCGCGCACCCCGAGCGGCGGGCAATGGATTGAGTGGAGGCCGGTCGGACGTCGGTCGTGGGATTCGCAGGTCCCAGGTTCCTAACCCCGAAGGTGGTCACCGGGAATGGTTCAGATTCAGGTTGACGAGAGTTTTTGGACGGGTGGAGAGTCAGACAAGAGTTCAAGAGGGGGAGGAAGGATGAAGTCAGTGGCAGAGGCAGAGGGAGGAGAAGAAGAAGAAGAAGAGAAAGAAATTGCTGGGAGCGGAAGAAGCTGCAGCTGAGCTTGTTGTTGGTTTCTGTTAAGTAAGGCCACTGGGTCCCATAATTATTATAATCAATAATAATAATTAATTAATCTTTCTTTGTTGCCAATTTGCCAATTTGCCAACTTGCTCAGGCAGATTTTTATTGATATTCTCCTACGGCAATTCAATTGATTTCTGAATTCTGGCAGGATCATCATTGACTGTCTCTTCTGGAACACCGATTCACCGCGGAAAAGGCTCAGAGTGCATATGAGCGCAGTCAGTGGAAGGAGCCCTACGCAAGGCGGACTATACTTAGATCTAGACGTGCTCCGGGCCGTTTAAACATCCCTGTCGCCGGGCATCCTTCCGAGCACCACAGAGGATGCTGCGACTGACTCTGTCTGAGACTGAGGCTGAGTCTGAGTCTGAGCCTGAGTCTACCAACAACATGAGGCGAACCAGGCTACTGAACGACCAAGTCAGGCCAGAGTGATCAGTCCTAGTTACCACAGACCACAGACCAAAGTACACTTCATCGGAGACGATCAGGAGAAAAAAAGATGGAAGGTGAACGGATCGTCATTCTATGACATAATGGAAAATCGCCGCTGGGCCCCGTGACCCTTTCAAGGACCTGCTGGGCGGGACGCGCGAGAAGTACCCGGTACTTTCCTATCCGTGGCCGTCGCCGCGTCCCGCCCAGTACCTGCGACCTGGCGGTGACTCCTTCCGGAAGGGAGTAGGCCCAGTAGGGACACCCCCGGACGCAGCCACGTTCGACGAGGGTTTTTCCCTTACGTAACAGCTACCACCCAGTTGCGGTCCCGTGATCCTCATCTCCATCTGTCACTGTCATCCCAACTTGCCCCCCCTTTCCTGCCATCTTCTTTTCTCCATCTTCATCATTCTAGGAATTGGAGAACAAGCATCGACCCCCTCTTCGGGTAATCCGGAACTCTCCGCCCCCATCACAATAACAATGATTGATCATTAATGACACCACTCCCATCCCCTGGATTTATCATTATTCATTACTCTGTACAGTGTACACCGGAGACGACGGAGTACGGAGTAGATAGATGACCTCCAATCTACTGTACTCGCCATCACCTGGTCCACTATTGGCCCTTTACCCCTTGCAGTTTTCCGCGAGACTTGGAAGTTGGCTCGGGGCACTGGTGTCCTAGTCTCGATCGAGTCCATTCATATCCGGACCGTCCGATCTCAATAACCAGAGACCGAAGGGGCGTGGTGGGCGCGTGACCAACATCTGACGGCCTCGGCACTGCTAGCTTGCTACGTCTTCATTCTTCATCTTTCCCAGAAAGTGGTCGTTGTACTCTGTACGCCGTAGGATGCACGGTCCATGTATGTGCATGTACTCGATTGCCAAGAACAGATCATTCGAGCCAAGCTGCCGGTAGGCATTCTTTAAGCTACTCCACTCTCTATTGGGTTGATCTTGCACATAGTTCGTTTGCCTAGAACCCCTTTCTACGTTTCTGCGGCGCGCGTAACGATCCCGCTGCTCCCTCCGCCGACTTGAGCCCCCGGGTTGGCAGTTGGTGCCCCCCCCTGCCAGGTTACACTCGTTTCCAAGGCGGTCCGGAGCAGTGGCAAGCGAGATTAGAATGCCAACGGGTCCCCCTTGTTGACTGCAACTGACCATTCCACTTCCCCATCACCCCATATTGCTCCAGTGGTGACAGCGCAAGCCTCATATGTTCGTGGGCAAGCGCTGCAGCCCTATCACACCATCTCCATGTCAAATGGTACAACTCCATTTGACGAGGATGGTCGTGTGTCTTGGTGCATTGTAGAGTGAACGGGAAACCGGCCACGACCTTTTCCTCGGGGAACGCGGTCGTGAGACTCGACGGTTGTCAGTGTATGATGGATAACGTGTCTACGACCCGGCGGCCGGCACACAACCCCTCCCCTTGTAAGACATCAGCCCGCCTTTATTCCGACGTATAATTGCATCATAGGCATTCTTTTAGAGTTTCTGGGGCCCTTCTAAATCTGCAGTATAATCAGGTGGTGAAGTGGTGTAATCTCATTGGCCATGACTCACGAATCAAGCCACTGCATCCTGGTCCTTGACATCGTTCGCTTCCGGGAAGCAGTTCATCTTGCCATCTTACAGATTCCAACAGATGGATCTAAAAATAATCTTTTGAGAGTTCTGGAGAAATCAACAATGGCCACATAAATCCAGGGCTACTTCCACGAACTAAGACTAACTCTATCCAGACTTGTGCAGTATATTCGGCTGCAAGTCGAATAACCCCGTATGTCTATACCGTTCAAAGTGGTACCGGGATAACCGCAATCATGAATTGGGTCAGAAAAGACGTAAACACCAGCTCAGGTTATATGTCCAGGTCACCAAATAGCCGATATACTATTTTTCACAGCGTCCATGTACCAACTGAGAAACAGACAAGAGAATCAAAGCTCTACAGCCGATTCTTGTAGTGCTTACCTGAAGATGCGTCCCATTCGGCAAGATATATACGCCGCGACAGCAAAAGTTGGCTAGGAATACTACTCGACCATCCATTTAGTTGGATGCTTCCTGTAAGCATGCGTTTCGACTCTAGTAAAATTGAAGCTTACGAGACATTAAATTTCCTGGATATCATGAAACTCCGTTGTTGAATGTTCAGTACTCGCTGAAAAGAAGCACCTGTGTACCTTCATACATCAATCTGAATCGATAATCGCCATGTTCTCAGGTCAACTCCAGGCCAGAATTCAATTGAACATCTATCACAGATTGCATAGATAACCAAAGGCTTATCAACAAGCAAGGCTAGGCCCTAGACCTTCCTGCTGCAGAAGGCAATACTATCCATTGGCACTGGCATAGCTATTTAATCCACCGATGCTGTCGTGTGTGACTGACCACCAACCCAGTCCTGATCTAAACGGGCTACAAGCCTACAACATACGGACTTTCTGCGCTCCAGGGAAAGACCCTTGCCTCGAATACTTAGCACTTTTCCCCAGCCCGAAATCTCGTCTGGACTTTAAAATGGACCAGCTTCTCGGTCGACTTCATGCACAAGGGCATACTATGCATTTTGTACACAAGTCCTGGACGGTTGGAGCAACAAGCGTGTTCTAGAACATTTCTGGACCTTGAATCTCCTGTATGCTTAGCTTATGAATGAGGTTGATACCGGGTGTCCTAGAGCCTTGGGCTTTCAGCATAAGTAGGTGGGCAGTGTTCTGTGATTTTATTCAAGTGTCAATGTCCGTCCAAATCATGTTCTCGGTTTCCAGCGACTTGGTAAGCTTCCACGTGAAGCATTACTATTCCATGAGCAGGACTAGACTGTCAATGTGAATAGTTAATGATCTTCACCTGGTAAGATTCATGAATGCTCATAGGTTATTCCGGTGGGATTTATCCAGTGAGGGAACTGGTCAGGTTTGATTCTTTTCAACATGACGGTAAACGTTGCTTATTGTTGGATAACTAGAACGTGTTTCTTGGTCAGAAAGTAGGTCAAAAACTTATCGCCGATCCTAAAAACCAACAGCATGTTCCTCGCCCATCGCGTAGATGTAACCAATGCCTTAGAGCTCAAGGGTGAACACGTGCCGGATATCGATCTTGAATATACCTTGCTACATGCTCGGAAACTGACTCAAGAAAAAAGATCCGAAGCATAACTGGGCCTCGTTCAATGGAAATCCGGCTAAAATGGTCCCGAAAAGAGCCCAATTACACCAGGGCTAGGACTGGGACCTGGTCTTGATGACTGCTAATGTTTGGTGAGAAATGCGATTTGAGGTTTACAAAACCTGGGTCGAAGATCTCTGGACTGAATTGAAACTTGCATCGGATCATCAGTTACTTATTTCAAGCCTGCTAGTCTTGGTTAACGCTCAGGGGACACGGAGATAGCTCAGCACGGAGGTAGCTCCTAAGAGCCCTTGGTTCGTTTCATTTGCTTTAAGTCACCATCGATGCTAAAAACTTATCTATCCTACCAACAATCTAGCTCTATGACTCTCGGCATTACTGTAGTTTCGGTGACTTCATCATACTGAAAGTATATGTGGATGAGTCGACATATATGATGGCCAGTAACTAACTGATATAAACATGATGATATCAGCAGAAGAGTACCTGTTAGGATTGTATACATGAAATAGTCATGAACTCATGATAAGGGACCACGAATGATGGGTGGATTGCAACCCCGGACATTCAACCCCGCCACAGTGAATTAAGAATGGAACCCGACTCGACTCCATCATCACGCGAAGTCTCTCGTCTCAACTTAAGATGGGGGCTTCACTAGGTCGGACAGTCTCTAATATAGACGCAAAAAGGGCAATACAAGCTCACTAAAACACAAGAAACCAAGTCCACATC